ACACGCTTGCTGCTCACAAGGCGGCTGCGGAGAAGGTCGCTGCTCAGGCAAAGGAGACGGCTGAAAAGGCTGCCGCAGACGCTGCAGCAGATGCCAAGGATGCCACGGAGAAGGTCGCTGCTCAGGCAAAGGAGGTGACTGACAAGGCTGCAGAGGCAGTAGCAGATGCTAAGGCCAAAGTTTCCAAGGTCAAGAAGGATGTTGAGGTCAAGGCCCGCCGCCTCCAAGAGCTCATCATCTAGTTGAACCCATCGAACAGAACAGCGCACAGAGATGGAGCTAATGGTTCATCCATTGGACTAGCACTCGTCATCATCTAGCTGCTGGCTGCTAGCTAAGCTGAAAGAGCTGCATGAGTCTCTTGGTTCTAATTGGATCGGCCCTTTCTTTTTCGGGTCGAACTCTGGCAGATCCGCGCCAAAGGAACGCGATCTGCCGGAGCACGCTGCTTGCGGAAAAGAAGCATGGATCAAGTACTTGGGTGTGGGTCAAGCCATTGGCATGCTGCGACTCAGAGGAAAACCCAGAGACGGACGGACGGACAGTCCCCCGTGCTGCCAGGCCAGTGAGGGTGTACTTCCTCCAGGAGGTGTGAAGCCTATGGAGCCTGGCGATTTGACCCGACTTGGAGAGATGTTTTGGGTTCAGCTTGTATAATCAGTACTCCATTTGACCCAGTCTTCAGCTGTCCAAAGTCATCTAGTCCCAGTCTTCAGCTTCTTCCGGCTACCCTTCGGCACGACCGACTCCGCTCACCGAGAGGGGGCCCGCGAGAACAGGTGCCGTGTCGAGCGACACGGAAGCGGATGAGGATGCTGATGGCCTTGGCCTGGCTCTAAGAGGTTTCTTTTGTTGAATCACCCGAGAGCGAGGCAACCCCAACAACTGGTTTGGAAGATCATCTTTACACCCTTTTTACCCCCCAGCAAGGCATGGGTTCGACTCAACCACCATGTCAGGTGAGCCTGCACCGGAGGACGGGCGACGGCAAAAAGGGTGGCGAGCCTGCTTTGTTGGTGTGGTATTTTGCGGGTCCTGTAGGTGAGGGGTGGAAACATATTGATACGGTCATAAGAAACATAGGCAGCCTATGGGAAGAAAATTTCTTCTGTCCAGATCTTCCCCCTCGTGGTCGTCCATTCGTTCCGCGTGCCAGAACATTCCGCTCTTCTTCCGATTTCCAGTCCATGCGACCTGGACTTCGGAGCATTTCTGCTCACCCGCCACGTCCGATGTCTCGGTGCCGCCCGTGAGCAGCGCCAGGCCGGACCTCTCGGCCCGTCCGCGGCTTCCGCTGCGCCGTGCGGCTCGACGGTGCTCTGCCTGCGGGGCGGGCGGGCGGAGCTGCGGCGTGGGGGGGCCCCGAGCCGGCGACCGTGGAAGGGCGGTCGCAGTGGAAGGGGGTGGTGTTTGGTGTTCCCGCGAGGGGTCCACTGATGCAAGAAGGTAGAGAGAGAGAGAGATACGAATGCACATCTCCAAGTTTTAGCTGGAACATTGCGTTGGCCACAGGCAACACGCGTCAAGCGGTTGGCGGTGCCAGCAGCTTGTCCTCCAAGGTAACACGCAACCTTTGGGTCGCTTGCAGTTGGAGGGCAAGGGCCACCTTGATGCCAACCTTTTGCAGCGGTTACCTCCCAGGAGAGCGAACTTCAGGGGAGTTGATGATCTGAGTGACTTGTGATCTGAGCTAAAGGATATGGACATTGCAAAGCCACATGTGTAGAGAGGGCGCAGACAAACTGGAGTGGCCATTACAATGATAGTGATATTCTGAGCCGTTGCTCTAAAGGAGAGCGCCCACCAAAAAGGACTTTTTTGAGCGGTGACCGCGGTGTGCCCTTGGGGTTATGGTGTGAGCGGAACTGCTTCACTTTTAGTAGTATGTTTTTTCATGTTTTTTCAGGAGTGACTCCAGTCGAGACCAGCAGCCTGCTTCACTCTGCCGAGCTTTGCTATCCGAAGTCTGGCTCAAGGAAACCATCGGCAGCACCGCTCAAGGCGAGCTTGACTCGATGGCAGCAACAGCGTCCCCGAAAGCAGCTGGGTCCGAAGGATTTCAACTGGATGAGGAGAAAGACCTTACCTCACTTGGACTGAGGAAGGCAATTCTCAAAGGACGGCACCCGCAGGCCTTAAAAACTTTAAACCAGATGCACTACGGTGCACTCACTTTCGGAGATCGATGGAATAGGTGGCAGAGAGCCAACAAACTTTGGCTAGCTTGTTGTTGCAGCTCCATTGGAGGCCGACCATGGCACACCAGAAACCCTCAGAAAAAGGCGGTGCGAGTGCGTCGAAATCAGAGCTCTGAGGTCAGTCCAGCCGTCCGGCGCCGGAGCGTGGCGCTGGGCTCGGACCCCGCCATGCGGGAGATGGTGCACTTTGTGGGGAGCCATGAGCATGACAGCCGGCTGCAGGACGGTTCCTGTCCTCGCACGACAGAGGGGGTGGAAGGAGTGGGAAGGTTTGCGCAGAGAGTCGCGTGAAGGTGAGGATTTGGGTGCGCGTGGCTTGAAATCAGGTAGGAGAGTGACATGGCCTCGCTGAATGGACGAGGCCTAGGCTCAACTTATGTGGGCATTTCCCTGGTGCAGGTTCAAGCAAGCCAGGCGCTCATCCATCGGTTTTTGATCGACCGGGCGCTCATCCATCGTTCAGGAGGCTGCAAACATCCGGAGCAACATCCTGAAGGCCGTGCGGAGAACGTGCGGCGCGTCTGTGGGAACATGTCAGCGCAACGGGCGCGGAGCGTTTTCGCGGTGTTCTGTGACTGCGAGGAGGCTCCCCGCGTGATTGGTGGACCCCGAGTCGATCGAGCGAAGGCCATCGATCGTGGCGGCTTCGTCCCATGAGAAACGGACTTCGAGGACCTTCCTGAGAACTTCAAGGAGGAGGTCGAAGTCTTGCGGCAAGCCGAGGCCTTCGAGGACGTGGTCGACGTGCATCTTGCGAAGAGATTTCCCACGCCAATGATGAATATGTATATATAAATATTATATAAATATATGTATACATATATCATGTGGAAGAATGGGCAAAGGGCGGGGACATCGCGGCCCAACATCCAGCCAACAAAAGCCTTCAAGCCGTGACTAACATGCAGGTTTTTGATGCCCATTCCGTGTGTTTCTTCTTCTTCTTCTTATTATTATTCTTCTTCTTCTTCTCGTCGCCGTTGGTGTTCATGTGTTTGTTGCTTTGAGATTGGAAGTTCCGAGCCGGAGGGCCACCCAGCTTGACTGGAAAACGGTGGGGACGATACACCTGCTTGCTCAAAAACAGCTGGCGCTGGGCGGTGGGCGGAGGTCTTGGTTCGAACAGACCACCACCCTTCATCCTCCCCCTCCATGGGTTCGCAGGCCCACACCGGACCCACACCGGACCACACAGGACAACCGTCCGCTGCCCGTCACGAGTACGGGCTTGCTGGATGGGCCCTCGGTGGATGCACGGCTGGCCTGGCGCCAAGAGATGGACCGCCAGGCCGATCGCTCCGGGGTGCGCTGGGTCCACGCGGTGGTGTGTGGGGCAGGGGAGTGATCGACAGGTTCATGGAGGTTTGGGTAGGGGAGGGGTGTTTTTTTTTGCAGAATTTTGAATTGAGGTTTCGAAGGTCATCAACTTTGTAGTTGGGCCAGTGGTGCACGGCAGAGGCACGGTGCAGCGTCCTTGCGAGGGTCCCAAAATGACATTACGTCGTATGCTTGTGACCCCTTGCGTCTGGCTTGTGACCCACCGGCCCCAACCAGATAAAGAAAGCTTGCCTGGTCCATCTACTAATCCATTAAACCGTCCTACTCCGCTTGTTCTTGTATCATCTGGTGTCTAGAGATCGGTTGGGGGCGGGTTGTTCATGTCCCACTTCTCCGGAAACACATAAGGCGGGCCACTCTCTGTTCCGCCACTCCGTAACGGCCCTCACGGCCCTCACGGCCCGACGTCGGCTCAGGTGAAACGACTCCTGCAGGACACGCACTTTGCGCTGGATGATCGGCTGGACGAGGAGGTGAAGCACATCTTGCGGGTGAACCACGCGGACCGCATGTACGACGCCTCGGCTCGGAGTGGAACGAACGCGGGAGTGGGAACCTGTCGCGGAGCGCGGACGGTGGAGTAGCAGGGCGGGTCCACGCGGTGGGAGGACGCGGAGGGGGGGGTGTTGAACGGTTTTCTATGGGGTGGGATGGTTTTGTTGGGATGAGGCAGCTTTGTCGTTTTCGGTGCATCGGCGGTTTTGGCATTCAGCTTTGCGAATGCGTGGCCTTTGGGCCTTTGGGATGGGCGAGCTGCTGGTGTGAAGCCACGGACGTGGCCCATGTCATTTCCCCCCCAGAGCTCAAGGCGGATGGAATCCCGAGCAGAAGGCACCTTTGGATGGGTCCGAGCGGTTCCACATCGCATCCTTGGCGCTGGCTGAGGACTGGTATGGGAAGCACGGCATGAAGCAAGCACGGAAGGAGCGGGTGGCGCCCTCCCACCTGCGCTTCAACCACGAGGACCCGGTGATGCCGGGGTCCCTTCGCCGGCCGAAGGAGGTGGCACCTGCCTTGCTGGCGCCAGCACAGGTCATCGAGGTACGCGTAGGGTGGGCTGAAGGTGCCCTCAAAAAGGTACACCACCGGCCATGAATTCTTCCAGTTCCCCCAACCAGATCTTGATTGGAGGGCGCAGTGCCGCAGAGGGTGAGCTTTTCATGTTAGGCTCCGCTTCTCCCTCCGCCGCCGTCCAGGTGCCGCGGGAGGTGCCCCACTTCCCCAGCCCGAAGGTCGAGGAGTCGCGCCCGGCGAGCCGCAGCGTCGCCACGCCGAAGACCCTGCTGACCGCGGGCCGCGCCACGGTGAAACCGGTCTCGCCGCGGGTCTCCCCAAGGGCCAAGAAGCCGCAGACACCGGGGGAGATGCAGAAGACCCGGACCGGCTTGTGGCGAATTTGATGCCGTTCCCTCGAACGAGGGAACGGCATTCTGCACAGTGCACTGCTTTTTCGCTGGTTTTTCCAGATCTTTTATCGACGTTACAAGCGACAAAAGGGCGCGATCCGCGGGGATGTTGGGCAGAGCCACACAGCTGGGTGCCTGGACTTCTGCCACAGCACGCTTTGCCAGGAGCCGTGCACGCTCTGCCGCAGCAGACGTGACCTCCGCATGGGAAAAATGCCTCGGCCACTTCGACGGTGCAGAAGAAGGCAGCCACCGAGGGATGGTTCTCTCGAGCGTCGTCGGACCATGTCGGACCCATTTCAGCATTTTCAGCCGCTGGGTCGGCACCACCAGTATCTTCTGGGCTTGGCTGCCGCGTTCACGGTGTCAGTGGGGGACAGGAACCTCTTGAGTCTTGGCTTTCCCCGTTGCCGAAGCTCAGGACCCAAGCTGAAGGACTCTGGGGTGGATGGCGAGGACTGGGATGAAACCATGCATTAAGATGGTGCTGTTGCATCTGTTGCTACCCTTTTGGCCTCCCTTCTTCAAGGTCCTTGAAGGCTTATGAGAACGTGACACAGATGTGAGGTCAACCTAGCTCACTCAGCGCTCGTTCTCAGTCCGTCCTGCCGTCGCGCCCACGCAGACCCCGCACCGCCCGACGAGGCCATCGGCGCCTGGCTGAATGGCGCCATGTCGGGCGCCATGTGCGGCGCGCAGGTCTTGGAGTCCACGGTGCGAGGTCCGGTGGGTCGGTGGGTCGGGAACCGGTCAGGGACCAGGTCAGGAACATAGGTCTGATCTGTGAGGGTGCGTCTTCTTCTGAGGGTGGGCTTGAAAAAGCTCGTTTTTCTGAAGCCAAGCCTTGGGGCTTTGAAAAGGAGTCTGTCTGAGTGAGTGTGACCACCAGCTTTTGACGACGGGAGACTTGTTTTGGTCGTTGAGAAGCCCAACGCCCATCGCCCATCCGCGCGTGCTATATAGCGGCTCAATGTCTTCAGACAACTCGCTGGCCGGAGAGGTGGGCTGAGGGGTTGATGGTTGAGGTGGAAGGAGAAGGGTTCAGTGATGTCCGGTGGCTTGATGGGAAGACGAAGGAAGAGTGGGAGACCCCTTGCACCTCCCGAAAGCCTGAGAGAGAGGCACCTCTCTACAAACCGGTGGTTTTCAGGGTCTATGTTAGTTTCAGTGGGCATACATCTAGAGAAATGAACAGAAGGTTTTCCTCAGACCCGCGCGAAGGCGTTCTCAAGAGCGGCTGAACCCTTCTTCGGATCCTTTGGCGCTTGAAAAACCCACAGGTCGACTGAGTCGGTGCTGGCCACCCACGCCTGCTGGGCCTCCCGACTCGCCTGGGCCTCCGCCTAGGTGATGGATGTCCGTGGACGTTTGGATGAGCCGCTCCTCTCCCCCGACACCTCCCCGGGCTTCCTTGACCAGGCGGGGAGGTCCTCCGCCTCGAGAGGCCAAAGCAGCAGCTCCGGTTGGTGCGTGGCCGATCGAAGTGACGGAAATTCAGAAGCAAGTGACTTGGAGTCCCATATGGTCGGCTGGGATTCTGTTTTCTATGAAAGCACCAGCTTGAGGTGTTCATTGAGGTTGCAGGTGCAGGCCAGGTTTTGACCCTGGACCTGCTGAATCAGCACGCAAGGCACATTCTCCAAGCATGACTTTTGATTAGATTTTGGTCTGACTTTCATCCTTGTGGTAGCGACGGTCTGGTGGAGGTCCGTCAACGAAACCAACCAATCAATTGATCCAATCGATTTAGAATGCTTCCAAAAGACAACAGTGCAGGCCTCACGGGCGCCGCCTCCTGCAGCTTGACTTTGTGATGCGCAGAATCTGCGCAGAATCTGCGCAGATGCAGTCCTTGTCGGGTGATGGTTTTTAACATGACTTGTGAAAGGTCCATTCCCCTTTGAGCAAGCGCGCATGAACAAGGCGAATGGCTGTGATGGGGCTGCAGATTCTGAATGGCTCGGTGCCGAGGGTCCCAAACGGTGTAGGAACCTCCCAAGCTTGTGGCACATGCCAGAGGTCCACATGATCCCAAAAGGCCATCAGACAAGACATCATGACGCCTGGTGCTCCGCCCGAGCATGTAGAGAGCTTGGGGGGGGTGCTGTGAGCCCAAACTTGGGCGAGGACTCGTTTCGAAGAAACTCTCCGGATGTGGATGTGGTTGGCCGGACTGTGATGTGGCCACTCATGCGAGCTCAATCCGAAGAAGAAGAAGAAGAAGAAGAAGAAGAAGAAGAAGAAGAAGATGCTGATGCTGATGCTGATGCTGATGATGATGATGATGATGATGATGGTGAGGAGGAGGAGGAGGCGGAGGAGGAGGAGGAGGCTTCTTCCCCTATTGTTGTTAGTATTGCTTGCTAGTATTACTATTGTTATTGTTGTTGTTCTTCTTCTTAATTTGAGCAGCACACCCAGAAATTGGTGGGTAGACATGCTAGGGGGGATGGTCCAATGGTTTACAAGACCTAAGACTTGGAACCCGAGGCTGCTGGTGCTGGCAAAGTACCCCCAACGAGGCGTTGTCCGTAGAGGGTCTCTCGTTCCACTGTCGGTCGAAGCAAGGTGGCGGCGGATGGCACCTCTAGTGAGGTGTGGGGCGAGTCGAGCGGAGATGTTGTCACGGAGCGAGTCGTTGCAGTTGTGGAACTTGTCAAGTCATGGACCTCTGCAGTGCTCTACAGGTCGCAGGCCTCATTTGACTGGTGCGGGTCATACCAAAAATCCACAACTCAATGAGGTCAAGGACCAGATTTCACTAAGTCAGGACTCCACCTGACAGGTGGAGGGGTGCATCAATCCGGAGCCCTGCACCTTGCGCGCCCCTTGTCGCTCCATTCTCGCAGGTTCTGAAGAAGATCGCGCTCTCTTGCCGCTTGACGATGAGTGGGAGGGGGAAGGAGCTCAGCTCAGCTCACGAAAGTTAGAGGAACATGTCTTCGATGCCATTTACGGTTCTGAAGCGATTTACGTGAATTCCCTTTGTGGCCCACCCCTTGGGATCGACCGTTCTCCGCGCATCCATCGCCGCTAGGTGGGGGTCGGCTGATCGACGAGCTGCAGGGACCCGAGAGCCATGCGCTCTTTGATGTGACCCTGGAGCATGCATTGAACCTCGCCTCCCAGCGGTATGTCCGGGGCCGGGGCGGGGCGGGGCGCCCTGCCGGCTGACCCGGCCCGGACCGGTGGGAGGGCGGGGTTGAGGGGGAGGGTCTCTTCTAGTTGAGAGCTTTTTGTAATGAGTGCTTGGTGTTTTGCAGCTGGTGTCCGTGATTTGGGTGCGAAGGGGGCGAGAGCTGGGGGAAGAGCTTCTGTCCGTCTTCCCTTAGTAGAAAAGCCATTGCCCATGTGGAAGATGGGATGCCTTCTGAGTGCTTGAGCTTGTAGCCCCACGCCATATGGCTGGAGCCCGTCTGCTCGCCCTGAGCTGAAGGCGTCTCTACGAGGCGTGCACCGAAGATGAGGGAGCCTTGGGACGCGAGCGGCGGAGGTGGCCGGTGGCCACGGTGGACGTGGGGAAGTCGAAGGGCGGACCGCCATTGGAGTTACATGATTGTGGCGGTCGGTCGATGCAAGAATCACTGAATCATACTGAATCACCTGGATCGATGGAAGTACGGCGTAAGAACGGAGTGCCCGATCATTTACAAGGTGTTTAACAGGCGTTCACTACAGTTGAGATCCGCTCCACAATAATTGCCTACCCAACCTCCAACCGAGGAAGAGCAGTTGCTTGCAGCAGCTACCTGGACTAAAGGTGGTCCAAAAAACGGGTAGCTCTGGGCTTCAGTCCACTTGAAATGAGGAGCCGAAGGCGTGTGGTGTGAAGATGTGTGAAGTACCGAGGGTCTACAATCCATGTTCTGAGCCACGGACGTCCACAGCATGCCCCAAAGCCCACGGGCGCGTGACCTGGGGCCGAGGCCTTGCCTTGGGGGAGCGCCAGGAGACGCCCAAGTCGCCGGGGCGGCCCTGTAAGCCCTTCCGAGCCCCGAGCTTGGAGATGAGCCTCGCCAAGAAGGCGGACGAGCTGAGCCCCTCAGCGCGGTACCAGGGGGGTTGGGGACCGAGAATGGGAGAGACTACGAGAATCTGACTGGAATTGGGGAGATGGGAATGCGGGTTTTACTGGTGTAATTATGTATGCATATATATATATATACACAAATAGATATATATAGTACTATTGAAAAAAAACATGTTCTATTTATTTCTAGGAGTGTTGGATGAGGAATGAAGGTGGTCTACCAAAGGGTTGCTGGGTTGGTGGAAGGAAGTTCCAGTCTCGCCCTGTCGAGTTCCCAAATGAGTTCGACGCACCTGCAGGTCATGTGGGAGCTGAAGAGGTTGATGAGGGATATGGGTGAAAGAATGCACGCTTCTCCTTCTGTGTCGTCAGAGTTTGAAGGGTCGTGCACCACCCAGAAAGAACCCCAGGGCGGATCTGGACGAACGCCCATGTTGTTCTTGCATGATGCTCTTATAGGGCTTTGGGAATGGTGAAGGCCTTCAACTCTCCTTTCTTGTCGGCCGTTGATCAATAACCCCTCCCGTCTTCAGAATCGCTTCCACATCTCCATACCTGCAGTCACGTTCGACGGGGTGCTTAATGGAGGTTAGGGGTGCCCAAAACATCCACTCACTTGGGGACTAGACACCACCCCTTTGTGACTCCTGGAAATTATTACTATAATTTTCTATATATATCTATTTCTATAATTTTTTCTCTCTCTCTCTCTCTATATATATATTTGTGTTTTTGGTTTTCATGTCCAGTTTGCACTTGCCTGGGTGATTGAACACGCGATGCCTAGGTTGATCAAGCTAACCGTTGAAACTCTTTTTCGGACTCCGAGGTTCTTCCGTTTGTCCTCCCAGTCCGCCCCTTCAAGGCTCCTCGCCTCTTCCGTTTCGCCTCTGGCACCCGCCTCCTGGGCTCCTTCTGGGCTCCTGTCGGGTGTCAGTCGCCCAGATGCTGGCATGGATGTGCTGGCCTTGAAGAATGCCCTCGAGTCGGAAGGCCCGGGTCGCCAGGAGCCATGGAGTAGCCGGCCGGGTGCGAAAGACAGAGAGAAAGGAAGGATGACATTGAGACTCAGGTGGGAATGAATCGATGCAGTCTCTGAATCTCTTTCGGATCATGGACCCATGGACCCATGGACTCCTGGAAGCCTTTGTTGGACCGAATGTTGGTCTTGTTCCTTATTTTGGTGAACTATTGTGTGCTAACCACGGCCTGAGAACAGCAGGGTGCTTCCTGTTACTTGTGCTGGGTCGAAACTACACGACTATCATGGGTAAACACGCCTGCTCGGTGATGGCTGCCATGTTGATGCATTTTTGTGGTGTACATTCATGGGGTGGAGGAAAGCCGAGTGACCTGCATGACCGCACAGTTTCGTCGCTGGAGGTTTCAAGGGCCTGGACCGAGAGCCGCTCTTCCAAACGCTGTGGCCGTGAGCTTAGGAGTTGGAGATGGTGTGAGGGAATTTCTTTTTCCTTGTGGTCTGCTCAGATCCTGACACCAGGATCGATTAAGTACCCTTGATGAGTTCATTCTACGGTGTTTTCTTCTTAAACAAGCTGTCCATGGGGCAAGTGCATTGGAAGTAAGCATAAGACAGAATAGATAGATAGATAGATAGATAGATAGGATTAGATTAGATTAGATTAGATTAGATTAGATTAGATTAGATTAGATTAGATTAGATTAGATTAGATTAGATTAGATTAGATTAGATAGATAGATAGATAGATAGATAGATAGATAGAGAGAGAAAACAAAAAACGACACCAACAGGCAAGGACACGGAGTACAGGCCGATGGATGCATCCAACGACTGCTCCAATATTCAACATACGCATCCCCCCCTACGAAAAGCGAGAGTAGGCACGTTCCAGACGGCACTTCGGACCACTCGGCTCGCCGACCGGTCGGCTTTCTGAGGAAGTCTCTTGGACAAGAGACCATCGATGTACATAGTTTCCACAGGCGGGGGCCACGTCGGTGACTTGCGCGATCTTCGGCCACGCCCAGCGTCTCAAGGGCGGGCGATCTCCAAGGGCCTGCGGTCTCCATGGCCCCCATCCATGGCTCAAAAACTGGTTCAGCTCATCGCTGTCATGTCATTCCGCAAGTGCCAAACTGGCGAGGAGAGCTCAGTACTGCGAAGGACCATTCACATGTGCTCCAAAAAACCTTTGAGGGCACCAAAGCCGAACGTCCTTCAGAACTTCCATCAGGGTGGCCTGACCCATGACCCATGCCCGCGAGCTTCCTGTCCCCCTGAGCTTCTGCACCAACGACCCGTCTTTTGAAGCGCCGCCCCCCCCACAGGCAGAACGTTCCTGCCATGTGGTCGTTACTGTACATTTGTTCGGGTGGGTGTCTTAATCGCTGAAGGTTTTGATGCTGCTTGGTGCACCCCGACCCGCCCTGCGTCTCCTCGTCGACCCGACCTTCGACTCGACCTGCCGGCGCTACACCGCGCGCGCGGGCACGCCAGGGTGTTGCGGCAGCTGAAGTTGCACCTGCTCTGCAGCGGCGAGGACGACTTCGTGGAGGAGCGGGGCTTCTTCGGAGTGGTGGCGACTTGGGACTGGGAAAGGGTGGAGATGGGGCGTCACGGGTGGGGACCCCCGGACCCACTCATCGCGAGTGGCGAGTCGCTTCGTCGTCGATCATTCGGAAGCGCGTTTGGAGTCGCTTCCTAGCTGGGCGTTTGAGTCGTTTCGATGAATTACAGGGGTCTGGTAGGGCCAAGCGTCAAGACGTGTCAGGCCGCAGTGGTTTGGTGGTTTGAGAGAATGACAAGGTGGTTTCGGACGCCCTTTTTATTTGTTCTATGAGGGTCCATAGAAACCACCGACCTTTGGGATGGTTCCATCTACTTCTTGGTTCCATCTACTTCTTCTCATCTCGAGGGGCAACGCCCTGATATCTCAAGCCTGACCCAAGCAGTAAGGGGACCTCTCCAATGTGAGGCCCGAGGCTGCTATCGAAAGGTGCCGCTACAAAAAGGAGGCGCCGTCAACAATGGAACCTCTAAGTTTATGTAAGGCCCACGCGCGGAATGTCAATGCTCCGGGGAAGGCGTCACTTCACTGGCGTAGTGGACCTTTTAACGGCAATATGAGAGGTCCAAAACCAGGCGTGTCCCGCTTCCGGAAAAATCTATGCAGTGGCTAAGCCTTGGTTACAAATCCCTGGAATGCGAAACTTTAGATTTCAACACGAAAGCAACAAAAAGTGTCTAGAATAGAAGCACATAATATTCAGTGAGGAACCGCGAGAAGCAGGAAAGTAAGGTTAACACTGCTACCACTAGGAAAAAGAAATCGAAGCAAAAGAAAGGCCGGGTTAAGGCAAGAAACTACGGGTCGGAAAGGTTCAAACCAGAAAGACGCGAAATTGAAAGTACATCTAAGGAAGGACAACAAAGGACACAAAGGACTAGCAAATAGAAGACACATAAAAACACGAAAATAGGAACCCGCGAACACGGAGGCTTCTTTTTCAAGGCCACGGAAATGACACTTCCCTCCCCTCCTTTGAAAGGTCGCCCTGTCTGGACTCGTTGGTCCAACCTTGGCGGCCGTGCCGACCGAGGACTGGAACCAAAGGCGCGGAGAACGAGGACGACCGGCCTCGCGGGCTCGTCCTCGGGGGTCGCAACCCCTCCCAGAAGGGGCTCAGCCCGAGGTTGGGGCGGGTCAGGTGTCGGGAACAACCCACGGCCGGGGTCATGGACCTTTGGACCAAACGCCTCCCACTCCAAAAAGGCTTGCCGGTGTAGGCCTGGGGCCCCGACCGCACGGCTGCATGGCCGGTCCGCCTCGATGGCGGGCTTGTGCTGGCCAGGGTGGTCTGTGAGCAGTACTTCACCAAGGTGGACCAGTCACGGATCTTCCTGGGACACCGCCTGGGTGGCATGAAGATGCGCTGGGTGCATTGCAGTGCCGTCAGCAAGGCTGAAGGGGTGGAGTGGAGAGTTCTGGAGAGGTTGCCTCTGAATGAAGCAGGCAGCAGGCCATGTTCTGCAAATCTAATTCAAAGGAAGGCTACTTCACACAACTCGCGCTTTCTCTGGGTCCCTGTGCTTGAATGGGAAGGCTTTTCGGCCAATAGCATGCGGGAGGAGGTTTTGGAAATGCCACTGAATCAGGGACCTAGCAGTCATTCTGTGGTATGGACTGGCATGGGTGGTCTGGTTGGAGTCAAGGATTTGCATTTTCTTTTCTCCCCGAGCTGAGCCAAGCTGATGCTCGCGGGGCGCCATAGCTGATGCACGTGCACGCTCCCTCTCTGATCGTGCTTTGGTAGGTGACGATCTTACGTCTGGCGGTGAAGTACCAGCTTCATCCACTCCCGGTGGAAGACACCATCCAGCCGCTTGGCGTGGGAAGACGCCATGTTGGGACTGCCATGCTGGTTAAGTAATCAATATACATATCATTATATACTTGGTTTTTCCATGCTTGAGGTGATCGGTTCTTCAGGTTCAGGCCCAGGCTTGAAACTCCGGACGCCAGACTGAGGCGGGACCGGGATGAGCGAGTTCGGCCGTGGTTTGGTCATGACCTGTCTGGTCCTACCCCTGACACGAGGTCAGCCTGGTAAGGACTTATACCGATACTTCACGACGTCTTGTTCCGTGGTCGACCTTGACAACGGCGGTGACCGTTTTCCTCCCAGGGGGACGTGTCTCCCCTAGTTCCGCCGACGACTGAGAGCAAGTCTTCGATGTGTTCCAGCCAGCGACCCTGAGGTTGCAGCAGCAGTCGGTTCCCTTGGTGCGAAGATATGGAGACAACTTCTTCATCATCCTTCCAATGCTCAGGCTCACCACGTGCCTGGGCCAAGCTGGGCGGAAGGTTGGCCAAGCCAAAGAAGGTCACCGGACGAGAACCAGATGGGCGAAGACCGCGAAATCTCTGATCGTAGACTAGACCATTTTACTGTGTCCTTTCCATCTCCGGTGTCGAACCAAAGTCGTGACATTCGTTTTCGGAAAGTCTGTGAACACCTCCACCAGGACCCCCAGTTGGGGTGGTTACACCCGGAATCCGTGGTGCTGGCTGAGAATGAAGATCCGACTGAGACTTCGGCACCACGTGGACGGGGCGAAGCCACCGAGGCCTTCGCGGAATGCGCTGGCGGCCTTTCACGGGCAGGTGGAGGGGCAACCCGAACTGGCCAGGCGGGAAAAGGGTCCCTCTCGTTGGGTCTAAGACCATGGAAAAGGGTCTTGGACAAGTAACACGCGTGGCTGAAGTTGGCAGGTCGGAATTGAAGATGGACATCGGGCATGCATGCAGTTTGGATGAACGGTTCTCCTAGAAGCCAGTGGTGAATAGCTTCTTTCTGTCGGCTGCGGATGGAAAGGCCTTTCTCAGGCGAGAGGGAGGGCTTCCAGCCAAGCAATGTATGTCCAAGGCAGACCACCAACCAGGACGAGTTGTTGGATCCTGAATCTTTGGCCGCACCCAGGGTGCGCGAAAAGTGTTGCAACATTGATGGCACTTCGGAATACGTGCTGTATATATATATATATAATGCATATTTATCGGTCTCCTCCGTGTAAAAGTCGTGTGCACAATTGGATCCTGGCTCGGGTCTTTTATGGGTTTGGGGGTTGCGTGAGTGCTCGGGCCGGAGTGGGTACGTAGAGCAAGGAGTAAGAAGGGGAATTGTTTGCACATTTTCCATCCACAACCTTTTGTAACTCAGGATGATTCAGACTTGGCAACCGTGCATTCTTCACAGCTAAAGAGTATTGGTGGTCAGACTTGTTCGGGAGCGCCATGCGAATTCCTGAGGATTCCGGGACCGCTTTCGAGGTAGAGATCGAGCAGGCAAGGAGTATTGGTGGATGACCATCGGGTGGAGAAAAGAACGATTTCGAAGGTCGCAAAGCCACTTTCTGATGTCCAAACTTGGGGAATTGGCTTTCTTAGTGGCTTTTGGCTTCTGGCTTTCGTGGCTTGCTTTTGGTGCCTTTTGGCTCATTGGCTCGTGCGTGGCATACCAGAAAGGTTCTACTTGTAGCTTGGTTGCGTTCGGGGAGGTCCCTGTATCTTTTGAAGCCAAAGCCGGGCCAGATGCCAGACCAGTCTAACACGCACTTTTCTGCTGAGGGGTTCATTGGGCCAAATTCTTGAGAAATCTGCATCCTTTTGCCTTCTGCTTATAGTTCATCCTTTCCTTTTCAATTCCTTCTCCTTTTTTTCATTTCCCTTTTCTGGTCAAATTCAGCACCCCCCAAAAAGACCAGAACCTCAGTCGTCTTCGACTTATCTCCTCTCCGTTCCTCTCCGTTCCTCTCCAGTCGACCCCCCGTCAGGGGCGCCTGGCGCTCTTCGTGGCCGGTGCCCCGAAGTTCGATACTTTGAGCCTCGCCGGGTCTCCGTTCGGGTCGGGCGTGACCTCGGTTCCGTTCGGAGCCGAGGTGAAGGGTGATCCGGGTGAGGTGAGGGTGGAGGCTGCACATCTGGTAGACCCAGCTGGCAGGGGGATCCTCTGTGTTTCTGAAACGCGGAGGCCCAACAAAAACGGTGCAAAGGGCTCAACTCAGCAAATCCCAGACCTCAAACGCAAGGGCCTCAGGGGTTGATCGGTAAAGAGATGTAAAGAGTGTGTGGGTCTTCTAGATGGCGTGAGCTTTCCCCAGCTTCAACAACTGGGTCCAGATTTGGCGGCAAGGATCAGCTTCCAGACGAACTGGGTGGTGCACAAGAGCGAGGACGTGGAGCACGGGCATCAAGCCTTGCCCGTGGCCGGCGCTCGCAGGCAAGTGCGGTCAGCTCATGGGTTCTATAAAGGTGGAACATTTGGTAAGACTCCTTTTGGCCAGGACCCCCATGGGGTCGCTACTGGATGTTGCCGGACACCTCTTTTCCAGCGGCTTTGAACATGACGCTGGAGGTCGTGGGGACGACCATTAAGCCGATGGCTCTCCCGCATCGGGGGATCCCAGGTGCCTTCGGACGGGGCCAGGTTCTGCCGGCGCCGGCGGGCCAACTTCAACTTCCGGAGCTCCCGTGCGCCGCTGGGCCGAAGCTGGCGACGTCTGGCGCTGTTGAGCCGGAAGGGATCAACGGCCTCATGGCAGGTGGCTCAAGGAATCGATGTGGACTCTTGATTCGTGATGCGCTCCTATGAAGAGGTGGTGCCATCCTAAAATATAGAATTCTTTTAAACATCTAAAACTCATGAATCACGAGTCGACCTGATCGGCTCGTGCGGGCCGCCTCTCAACCCCATCAAGGGACCAATACCAACTCCAGCCGAAGCCCGGTCCACAGCGCTGAAGCGCTCGGTTGTCCTGCGGCTTCGCGGGAGCGGACGGCCCAGCCTGACCCGCCCTGGGAGTTTCCATTGGATCAAGGGCCATAGTCGGACGCGCTTGGGCAAAATGTGCTAGAAACATGTGGAAACCATGGATCGACCGGTGAATCGAAGGTCCACGCCCCGCCGAGCTAGACCGGGCCAGACCGAGCCAGACCGAGCAGCGCCCGCGACACTCGCCCGCTCGAGGCTCATTCGCGACGGCTCGGCGAGCTGCCGCAGCCGTGCGGATTCCGCCTCCTCACCAAGGCCCTACTCACAGGGGAGATCAGAAGGAAGAACAGGGCTTCGTGAGCGAACCTCCACGTCCATTCTCCAACAGGCCTCTCCTCGTTTTCTTTGCGCCTGCGAGGCGTGTGTCCCTCATCAAAACGCGATCGCACCGATTTCTTCACAGCGAACCGCACCGACACTGTAGGCCTGAGGGTTTAGGGCATTGACTGGCATATAGACGTATGGGTCCAGAACGCTCTTTTCGTGATGTCCAACACGAAAAGAGCGCAACGGCACAAGCGATTCCGCCCGATGAACTGCCTGCTCCTTCCGAGCGAGGGCGTCGGGCCGTGAGCTGTCCGGGCGCGCGCGCCCGCCGTCTTCGACCTTCGACTCGCTAGGACGCCCAGCATGAGCGCCGACATCGACTTCGAGGACAGGTCATGTCGCTCAAACTGGTGGTGAGGGGCGAGGGGCCGAGGTTCTCGACATCAACGGATAGGGTCTGCATGGTCCAAGACATTGAACGGGTGAATTGACTGGTTTTGGGATGTTTGGGGAATCTGGTTTTAGTATTTATATAGATGTATTTAGGGTTTAGGCAATTGGACATTTGACCTCCAACAATGAGTGTTGGGGTAGAGCAAGGATTATTGCTCTTCTCCTGTGCGGGAGAAGCTACTCTACTTGAGGTCTGCCCTATTCCCTGCAACAGTCGGTAAACAATTATCACAATTTTAGAGAAAGGCCTTTATACTAACCATCATCATCCACTGTTACTAGTCCATAATGGGACACAATATGTTCAATATATATATATATATATACACACTAGACAAAATTGATTCATTGCCTTGTTGATTGATTGATTTGATTGGTTTTGTTTTTATTTTGATTTACTTTAATTTAATTTACTTTCATTATTTTGATTGATTGATTGATTGATTGATTGATGGTCCCCCCCGCGACTTTTAAGTCTGCAAATAAAACCCTCCAAGGAGACCTGTTGGAATGTGCTGGTATAAGTTTCATTGATTGATTACCTTGTTGCTATCGCAGGACGCGGAGGGCTCCGACGCGGTGCCCTTCGACGATGACGCCACCGAGGCCTTCGACGGCATCGTGGAGGAGATCCAGAAGGTGCGGAGCATTCCTGGGAGCCACCGCGCGGAAAACCTCGGGACAGTTCCCCAGAAGGGCCGGTGTGGTATAAAGCAGCTTCAGGATATCATGTCACCATGACGCTCACCTTCCCCTCTGAAACTCAGGTTTAGGGCTCCGCCTTCCCCGCCCACCTGTAAAAGGCCCGTTGTGGATGCCCTGGATCCGGCAGGACAGCTCTATGCTCCGCTCGGGCAACGCAGCCTGGCTCATGTGGCGCGTCGTCGATGTGATTGCAGCTCGGTTGGCAGGAAACAATGGGAAACGGAACAGGGGGAACGGCCGCTGTCCCTGTTCTTGAGAGAAGAGCCTGGCCGATCTGAAGGGTTTGGAAGTAGTGTGGGTAAGGGCTAGTTTTTTCCACTTACATGTTACCAGGGGCCCCACAAACCATCAAAAACAAGGTTTTCCCTAGCAACAAACATGGTCCTTGTATGTGAACACCGTTGTTTTTGCATGGTTTGGTTCGGGCCCCTGGTAATGACTCCGAGAGTAGGTGCATGTAAAGTCGTGCTCGTGTCCACCTCTACACACCTGGTACAATGGTGGATTTTGAGTGCGCCATCTTCAGTAAGACCTGCATTGGCGCGTCTCCACCCACCAAAAAAGCACCCCGCAGTGTGTTGGCCAAAACCGCCTCCCAAAACCACACCGCCGCACCTCGCTTCGCCCCCGGACCAGCGCCCGACCCGCCCGACCCGCCTCGTCTGAGCTCCGGCTGCGTCCGGCGCTGTGCTTCTGCTCGTCCGGCGCTGCGAGAAGCACTCGGCAGGTGGATGAGATGGAACCCATCCTGTCAGCCTTCCGCGCTCGTCTCCAGTGGCCGCCTGGCGGGAAGAAGCACGTATGGCGCACGGGTCAGTATGGCGCCTGGGCGTCGGTGGGGTGGATCCTGTCGGGTTGGCGGTGGGGTGTTTGGTGGGTTCCGTGGTTAAGCAGAGAGGACTTTGATTCCTTGAAGGCGGGGGTGGCTACGACCAACACGAGGTGTTTGGTGGACGTGAAGGACTTCCATGGGAAAGGATTGCCACCACGAAGTTGCTGAGGGATAAGCAAGACTCCATGTCCATGCTGTGATTTAGTTTGTTTGTATGTTTGCTGCCCTATAGCTTTGGACAGAGACTGCCTGTCCTTTCTCCATGGTCCTTGTTGGATGGATCCTGAACCTTGCTTTTGGATTTCGGAGGGGTAGGCAGCAAGATACCGATCATCTACTTCTCCACACCTCCAAATCAATGTCGCTACCAATGCCAAACCAGACGAAGCGACGGAAGATTCTTGTTGCTACACTCTCGTTCCTTGCGCAACCCCTGCTGGAACCACAGAGGGGGTAGCAACCAATAAGGTGTATGACACCAAACTGACCCCTACCCAGACACTCCATGTATGCCATATATGCCTACATTTGGGTGGGTTTGGGGGTCAATGTAGGCATATATGGCATACATGGAGTGTCTGGGCTATGATTCTCCAACAGAACATGACGACCGCGGTACTGTACCGACTTGTGGCCGGGCGAACGTCCCAGGTTTGCGGCACACATCGCCAAGCGCCGATCGAAGGCCGACAACGATGTGGCCGCTTGGGAACGTGAGGATGAAGATGACCCGATGAGCGGATTAACACGGCTTCTCCCTAGTAGCTTCACTAGTAGCTATGACCTCCAACCTAATAGCGATGGCCTCCACCGAACATAGCCTCCTTGTTACTGTTCATATTGTTGGTCACCTTGGTCCATGATTTGGTGCTTTGAAGAACGGGTTCGGGAGAAGCGTCGACCCAATTGGACCCCCAAAACTAAGCCGACAGTTGGGTCTCTGGTGCCTCTCCATGCGGCCATGCAAATCCGATTTTGCAAGACTCAAGAGCAGAAATGAATGGTACAGATATAGTTGCGGCATGTGTACATCACACCAGTACAAGCTTCTGTCCCAAACCCATCAGACCATATGATGTGAAAGGAATGCTTAGGGACCGCCCCGGTTCTTTTTCCAGGTAGCCTTGGTGTTCATGCTCATTTCAGGAGAGACCAAACACACATATCGTCCGCAACTGGCCAACTAACATGTTGTAACATGTGTTGTTTTGATCCTTGGAGGCTTTCAAACCACCTTGCTGTATGACCAAGTTTTCTCTGTTGTGAAATTCGCTCCAAGTGTGTTTACCTTACCAGAGCCGTAGAATAGAACTACCCCCCAGTTCTACCCCTGACAAGAGCCAGAAGGATCCAGAAGGGAGGACCCAACACCCATTGGCGTTCGGCAAATTTCGGGCTGCGGGTGACCATTCGCCACATGCTGTCGACCCCCGTGGCGGGCAACCTCATTTGGGGTTTCAACGGACGCCTCCGCTGTCGCACTCGATTGCTCCCCACCGACCGAGGAGAAGAAGCTGCTGTGGACGCGTGTGGAGTTGGAATGGGTGCAGCGCAAGGCGCGACCGGTGCCGGGGGTGGGGCCTGGAAGAATATGCCGAGTATGTCCGACGTGTGTGTATTATATTGTAACACACACATATATATATATATGTCTATATTATTTCTTTAGAACATATATAAATATATATATGTATATATGTAGGTAATATTTAACATTCACATACTATATCACCACATAATATATATAATATGCACCAGGCAAAGGAAAGCGTGCTCCTTCCAATCAGTCCTGATGTCAATGGTATCCAATATCTAGTACATATCTCTTTCATATCCAGGACCTGTCAGAGGCATGTTCATGGAATTTCCTTGGTGAACCGCCCGCTTTGGCGGTCTCAAACATGTTTTTGGTTGCGTCCAGGCGTGTTGTTGGCCCCGCGCCGGTCGCTGAACCCTGCGCCGAACGGCAGGTGCGGCCCATGATCCGAGCAGCCTGGCGGCAACTGCGGCAACGGCTGCTCCGTAGTTGTGAGGAACTCGTGGCGCCTGACACTGCGAAGCGAAGGTGCTGAACGTGTTCTTTTAGTAGAACGCGTTCTAGTAGTCAACCTGGTAACCTGCGACCAGGGAGTGGTCCGGGGATAACTGGATCATCTTTGAGACCTTTGAGACCTGGAGATTGACTTCCCCACTCCAACTCCACCGGTGGGAGACAGTGAAGCTGTTGAGAAGCACCGGCTCGGACTTCCGTCCTTGGAGCCGTGGTCTTGACACTCTGACGAACACATCCACATGGTGGAAGTGGACGGCTTGGGCCCCTGTGAAGACCATGTTTCCTCTACAAAAACAGGCGGTTTTCCATGTCCATGTTGGTGCAGAGTGTAGCCCTGGACCCGTTTTGAGGCAGCCTTGGACCCGTTCGTTCTCTGGCCCAGCTCAGGTGGTCCGACACATGATCCACGAGAAAAGCATCGAAGCGGATGTGCCTTGGGCCGTTGGTTTCGAAAGCTTTTCTTTCTTCCTCGGGCCTGGAGGATTCCAGCCAAGCGCAGCTTGGGACGGGTGGGCATCGACGTTTGATGTTCTGAAGCGATCCAGGTGACGCAATACCTGGAGGACGTGGAGGACCATTTGGAAACCTATTTAGAAGAGATCAGTCGCAGCATTGGGGTCCGGAACCCAGACAAGCTGCAGCTACATGCAGCCCCCACAGGCGTTGCTCGGACTCCGTGGTGCTTTCCATACCAAGTCAAGGCATGCTCGGACCTCCGTCGTCTTCCACCGCTTTGGCGCGTCCCGCGCCGAACGGTGGCGTCCGAGGTCTGCGACTCGCTGCGAGACCAAGTGCGAAGCCTGCGGGATCGCGATCAGCAAGGGGTGCCGGATCATCGGGCGGCTGTGCGGGCAGCTGTGCGGGCAGCGGCTGTGGTGGAGGGGTGGTCTCTAGCTATGGATGGCAGGGTGGAATGGTTCTAAAGGAGTTGGAAATTGGCCTCCAAATATATTGCACCAGTTTTTTGGACCACGGCGACTGGTCTTGTTTTCGTGTCATGCGCATGGCGATTCCCCAGCGGGAGGCTGTGATCACAAGAGAGCACGGTTTTGGGGTGAGGCGAACGACAGACGTGAGTCACATGATGGTTGAGGTTGACCACAGCCATGTACTCTGAAAACACTGCACATGAGCTCATCATGAGAACTGAGGATGATCTCTTTTCTGCGGCGTCTCCTGGTTAGGGAGAACCTCATCCATCGATGGTGCCAAAACAACCTAAAACAACGCATGTCAACCAGGACCTTCCCAGTGACCTTCCCAGAGATCCCAGAGTGAGGTCACGAACAGGCCTTGAAAAGGTCACTTACCAATCCTGAAGAGGTCACTGAGAAGGTCCTGGAACACATCTCCTAACTCAGAAGAACTGGTTGATGGGAAAGCCATGGAGCGAAGGAATGTCCAGTCCAGGAGTCACAAAGGGGTGGTGTTTAGTCCCTAAGGGAGTTGATCATGGGCACCCCTAACCTCCATGGATCGCACCCCGTCTTGTGACTGTTGGGTCCTTCCTTTTGCTCATCCATTTTAGGTTCGTTTCTGGGGGGGTTCTTGCTACATGCCCCAGATGCCGCGGGTTGCACCGATGCCACCGGTGTCGCTGGAGGTGCTCTACGCATTGGCGCTGGTCACGACCATGACCTCTCCCATGTACCTGGGCCCGGTTTGGCGGGGTGAGCGATCGAGAAGGCCGAACCCGTTTTGGGGAGGTCCCCAAGAAGGTCCCCAGCCCCGTCTTCACGCACCCAGACCTAGGACCGGACTGGTAGGAGGACGCCTGGCTGATCCTCAAGCGGTGACCGGGGCCTCGACCCACCACAATGGACGATGCGCCGACGCGCCGAGGCAGCTCTTGTCGTCGATGTATGGCATGAACTTTGTCAACACCATGAACCAGCCAGTCGTGCCAGGCGTGCGTTTGGGCGTGCTCTCTTTGTTTTTTTAGAAGCCCAGACGCTCCAAACTGCTCTGGGTTCCCTCAAAACCATAGGGTTTTGAGGGTGCAGACCCCTCCATATGAGGGTCCGACCCCCACTGAACGGAGCTTCCCGGGTCGCGTCTGGGAAAATCAGAACATCGCAAAATCTGATCCGCATCACCTGGTGACGTGGATTTTCTGGTTCCTCAGAGGACGTTCCGGGTTTCGACTCCGCCCCACGTGACTTCAGAGCGGACGGTTCGCTCTCAGGCGGGCGGTGGGTTCTTGGACCGATCTGTGGTGCGCGGGAACATCCTAGAACCTGTCCAACTTCTGAGAGTGAGAGAGAGAGAGAGAGCGCCCTGTCATGAGCATCGAGCTAGGACCAAAGTCCGGGCCTTTCTCGGCCATGAGCACCGAAGCACAGGACTGGGCCCGATGGAAGTCAAGCGCGGCTATTCGCTGTTCTGGGGCTCCTTGGAGTGCAGATGTGGCTGTTTCACCGGAGGACGACGCCTCAATTAGCAGCCCGTCGTGCTGCGGAAACACGGGTGGACGAAAGCTCGCTGGCCGGAGACCAGCATGGACAGCAGGTCCCTGAAGATGAGCGGTCCCGGCCCAACACTCCTCGTTTTGGGCGTTGGAAGTGAACGTTGGAAGTGAGAGTGCTTGGTCAGCTCAAAGAGTTTGGCTGGATGAATCCGGTTGTGCTGAACGTTCGGTTCACGGAGAAACTCAGGATGCATCGGTGTACTCCTTGGAATGACCACTAGCTTGATCACCCCTCAGTTACAGTATAATACAGTATATATATATATATCCATACGATCCATGCATGCATACCGAATACTTATATATGATATGATATGTGTCCAAACTATATGGATATTAAACACCCCATGGCCCCCGCCAGTGGCCTACAGACGATCGGAAGTCTTCGATGACTTCGACACGAAGCTCCAATCATTCAGCACACTTGAGGATTGGGCGTGGCCATCGTCTCAACGATCTACATCAGCTTCCGCTTCGTCTTAAAATGGATGTAATTCGCGAACGGGCCAAGCGATGGATCGGGGGGAGTTGATTCACTCAGCCGACTTCACTTGGCATTTTGGGTGTTCTCTCATGTGCACATAGACTCGGGGCATGGAGGTGCCCAGCAAAACCCCAGGGCGGACCGGTCCTGGTGTGGCTCGGCGAACGACGGTCGTTGTTGGACATAACGACTGGACTGTCCCAGCAAAAGGTTCTGGGGACCGCCAAGGCTCCGAAGGAAACCCAATTTGTGCATGGTGAATCATGACAAGGAAACCACTATGCTATTCCATATGGGAGACCTGGTTGCAACTGGAATGGCATCACTGAAACCAGGGTCAACGTGTAGCAAAAGATCTAGATGCAATAAATGCAGAAGCAACTCCCCCCGCAGCTCGTGGCGCCAGTGTAGCTCGTGGCCGGCTCGGTTCCCTGCAGCTGTGGACACCTGTTCCACCGGTGGGAGTGAAGCCAGGAAGAAGCACTCATGGTCGTGATTGTGGATCGCGCAGATCGCAAGATGCCAATGGGTGCGGGCTCAACAATCAACGGACATCTCTTCGTTGCCAGTGTCTGGGACCCTTTAGATGGAGCTCAGTTTCCAGATCCGGCTCTCCAGATCCGGCATACCCGTCAGGTCCATAGGACGATTCACGCAAAAAAAAACACAAAAAAACACCCAAAAAACACAACTTTTGGGCTTGTTCGACCCAGGAGTTCAGGCCTCTTAGGCGAACTTTTAATTGGCGAGACAAGTAGAACATAGTAGAACTCTCCCAAAGGGAGGTGAAGAAGTTGCGAACAGCAACAGAGCCGAGGGAGCACTGTGACGATCCGTGTGGGGGAAGGTGTAGGACGATCCGGGTCATATTTTTTGGCCTAGCAGACCGCGAACGACAGGATTCTCCGTTGTGGTGCCACTTGCCCATTATTTCTTCAATCACCGAGAAAGCAGACTGTGTCATACACGTTTCAGACGATGAGTCCCTCAGGTCAGTAGGGGGGTTGAATGTTTTTCTTTGTTTCCTCGCCCCCTCGGTGACCAGGGGATGGGATCGCTTTTGGGACGTCAGGGCCAGGTGGGCCATTTCTGTCCTCTAAATCCAGGGCTCACGGGACCTGGGCGAGACTAGGATGGCTCTGATGCTGTTGGCTTTGGCTTTTGGATGGCAGGGGTGTGCGCCTGAAAGACTCACCCAAATGCGGAGTTTCTCACGATGGACGGTGCGAACGGGAGAGAAAGGTGTTGGCGCCGTCCGGCCAGTTGGCAGAAGGCAGAGCGACCGGAGATCGAGGCTTTGTGGCATTGGATCTCCAATCCCCTCCAATGAGACTGAGACTTTTTTGGGAGAAGGTCCCTGGCCTGCTTGGGAAGATGGTTTTGATATGGTTTTGATATGTCTTTAAGCGTGATCGCCCAAAAGATAGAAACGGTTTAGTCTCCAAGACATAGTCAGTGGGAATCTACGAACTTCTATCTACTTGGGGGCCTTCTCCAGGACCCACCTCTGTTTGGGTGGTTCATGGGTCCCACGCCTTAACCTCTGTGTTGGGGCCTATCAATAAACATCCTTAGGGGGTCCTGGTACAATTGACCGCGCCTCAACCGCGCCTCCACCGCAGATCCCCGACGCTGTGGCCAGGCCACTTCTGCGCCGCGCCAGCGCAGCGGGAAGTGAGTCGAGCCTTGGCGCTGTCGTCCAGGGGCGGTGGGTGGACGACGAGTTCCGCGAGGTGGATGAATGGCCTGGGAGGGATGACACGGATCTCGGGTGGTTTACACCGCCCCCCCCCCTGAAACCATTTGAAGTGGGTGGTGCTGGGAGAAGATCCACGTTGAACAGCTGGGAGAAGATCGCCAGTGTTTCGGGATGTGGAGGCCATTTTTCGAGGCCGTTTTGGTGGCCTTCTTGCTTTATTGAACCAGTTCTGGGTGCGGAATCATGTTGCAACAGGATCTGACTTCTGAATCAATGGACCGAGGTATTAACGTTTTCTGATGCAATTGGGTATCCGGTTGTGAGAGACAGAGACAAACAGAGAGACAGACAGACAGGGCCAGAGGCAGAGACAGAGACAGACATATATACAGTACAGACTCGCAGAGGGAGGTAGGTAGGTAGGTAGGTAGGTAGTCCTGTTGCCTCGTCGCCCCGGCGGTCGCCGCGGAACCCGCTGGATGCCGGGGTTCCGACCATCCGGCTCGTCGCCTTCAAGCGGCGCGTGTGGGACGGCAACGGGCCATCAAGAGAGCGAAAAGCGAGAGGGACGTCGGAAGTTGGACCAATTCCCAGACACGACGATCCATGGGACTGCCATGTCGGACTGCCGCCCCATTGACTCCGCAGTCAACCACCCCTGGCCTATCGGCATATATGGCAGTCCCATGGAGTGTCTGGGATTGAGGTGGGAGGCCGCTTTTCAGTTGGGTTGGAGAAACGCATTGAGACCCCAGCTACAGACAGGGAGGCTCCGTCTTCGGATTTCATGGTGCATCTGAACGCTTTCGGGGCCATGCCATCATCCACTGCCGACCGTGAGCCTTGGAGCCTCTAACTTCAGAGTGATCCCCAAATAGTTTAGTTGGGATCTATCCACGGACGCGGAACGAGGCACCGTGGAGCTCTACGGCCTGGAGTCGGAAGGCCAGCAAAGATGCTGAGGGATAGGGATTCTGGCGCTGATCGATGTGTCTCAGTTGAAAGCGAGAGAGTTGACCATGAACCATCATATGCATCGTTCTTTTTGCAAGCCACACTTGTGCTTGCCTTGGTCATCGGTAGGTAGGGTGGACTCCGGGCATGCCCTCGCGGCATGAACGTAGCGGACATGATACTGTTTAAAGGCTGCTTTAGTAGATTGCAGTATTGGTCGCTGCCATTGGTTGAATCTACTCCCAAGAAGTCGAAAGACTATTTTTGACCCATGGAAGTAAAGGAAGTTCCTCTTCGGGTCACCTCCAAGAGCCTCAATGACAATTCTGTTCATGGTCTTTCACTCCCATAGTGCTGGACAGCTGGCACTGGGAGGTAGCGCCAGCAGCGGGCCTGGCAGCTGTTTGGGGGGCTGCTTGGGCGCGCTTTGCGGCGGATTGGCGGCCCTGAGCCAGGCATGGAGGGGGGAAATGCGGAAATGGTCCTCAAAGGTGGGTTTGCAGTCCAAGACCAGAAGAAGAGTCTGACTAGCGAACCCGCCTAAAGCGGGAGCTGCAGGTGTTTCCTCTTTTGGGACAAGTCATGAGGGTCGTTGCACTTCACTGTTTCTCTCTCTCTCTCTCTCGCTTTTGAAGACGGACCCTTCAGGTTTGGGGACGGGTCAGAGAGAGGCTGATCGAAACGATCCTCAGCCGAATCGGGAGTCCACCGGGTGAAAGGGGTATGTTTTCAATTGTTTTCACTGAATGACTGTTTGCAGGGAATGGCTGAGTTCACCCTTAAGTACTTTTAGTTCACCCTTAAGTACTTTTCGAGGGTATATTTTGGAGGTCTAGGAATTTCTTCCTTTCTTCATGTGGCTCGGCTTGGCCAAATCGCCGCAGGGCAGTGCGGGGAAGTTGCTCCATGCGGCTTGGTTGAGATGATATCGGCCAGCAAGGCTTATGGCTTGATAAGCCCCGATGGATACTGCATGATACTACCATTTGCATGACCTGATCCCAAAGACGCAAAGCTATAAATACGGAACCATTTTGTCACAGATGTAGTATGCTGCTTGCAGCGAACCTGCTGCACTGGGGACCCAAAGAACAAAGTTTCTTAAATCCCAACCTTCCTTAGAATACCGGTCTGGCCACTGGCACGCCTCAAAGAAAACAACAAATCCGTTTCTAACGTGGACACCAAGGTGACTGCCTCGCCCAGTTGGGCAGTGAAGCACGCCGCAGATGCCAGGGGACCTTAGGGAAAACGTGTCCGTTTCCGCCCAGAAAGGTGGTTGGAAAGAGAGGTGTGCCGTAAATGGAAAGGCGACATCTCGCTGGTGTGGTAGTTTTTGTGTGCATGATTTGGTCTTTCCTGCTGCCCATGTCCTCTGTAATCGCTACCCAACAAAAAGAGAATCACTGGGCACAAGATAAGGATGTTCAGTGGCAACCACAAGTCACAAGGGTGCCTCGCGGATATTGTTTTACTTTGCCGTTCGAAAATGTACCTGCCCAAACTGACATTTTCTTTTTGCTTTTTGATGTTCATTTTTTTCCGGTTTTGCTCGCTTCTCTCCAACCAAGACCAGCACAACAAGAAGAACCACCTCCTCCCTTGCACAAGCCATTTCTGGACCGGGAACCGATGCCAACGCCCCTTCTGACCGCCGGGAAACGGGAAACGTCCTCACCGCCGCTGCGACCGCTGCGCTCCTTGTCTGGAGCGGTGCCTTCAGGTGCTCGCGCGCGATGGGACCTTTGACACGGAGGTGGTGAACTTCGAGTTCCGGCGCCGCTGCCTCCAGGCGCCGTGGACAATCGCCGGGACGCAGTTCGCGTGGACACCGTGAAGGGCGTTCGCCCGAGAAGGGTGAGGCTTTGGGGGAGATGGGGGAAACAGCTAAAAAGGCGGAATGGAGGCAGTTTTTGGTTGTGCAAGTGGGCAGGTGAAGTCGCTGCCAGATTGGGGGAACATGTCAGATGCACATCAGGATAGATGGGAATCCGTGGCACGCCGTGATGGCGTGCGCAAGCCGCAGATTGAATAGCTTCCAGCAGATACATCCCTGCGGGTGTGATGCATTAACATCGGGAGACCTCCCAGGCAACGACCCCCTGCCAAGAAGGGACATCGACCGGTCTACCCATGGTCGGGGGTCTCCCTATTAAGACTAAACACCCCTGATTACACACCCCTGCAGATCGGTCCCAAAAGCTTCTACGAGTCTCAAGGGGCGTCGAATCGCCACCACGAAAGCAGCATCGTCCCGACCGACTCGGGGGGCAGGCGCATCCGCAGCAGCTTGGCAGGAGTTGAATCACCCGATGTCGAGATGTTCACAGTGATGGTGCTCTAGAATGTATGTCGCGTATGTTCTAATTTTCTTTCTCTTTTATCTTGAATGAATTCTTGATACCTAAGAAACGCATCTCCAATGAATCTCATGATATTTTGCATTTCGACCTCAGGACCAGCACTTAGGAAGGACAAGTTTGGCGTTCGACACGGCACACACACTTGAAGGATCTTGAAGGAGGGTCACACGTGGAGGAGGATGGTGAGCATGAGGGTGATAATGACAAGGACAAGGATGAGGAGGAAGAGGAGGAAGAGGAGGAAGAGGAGGGCGGGGATGTTTGTCAAAGCCAAGGCGCAAACTGGGTGGCCTCTTTCATTTCTTGCAGGCTCGGGACGCGCAGAGATGATGTTGTTGACCTTGGTGTTTTTGTTGAAATAGATGTGCAATGCTTTGTGATGTTGCCTGCGGGTGTGTTCACAAAAACTAGATCCTTTGGCTAGTCACTATATAGTCTTCCCAATTCCCGATGCGAAGAATGCGCATTCAAGGCTTTGTAAGTTGCTGTTATTCTTGGCTGCAACTACATCATGTTGACTGTTGAACAAAAAACTGCTATATGATGTGGATTTGTACCATGGCCTCCTTGAGGGTGTGTTTAATAGTCCTTAGAGGGTCAGGGCTGTCCACGACAGTCTTTTCGAAGAAGGGGCCTCCAACCAATCGAGGTTCGTGGTCGATTCTTTTTCCCAACTCCCACGAAGTGCTACGGTCCGTTTGATCCGATGCATGCCTTCGCATCGGTTCGCGCGTCCTCCTCCACCCCATCCTTCCCGCCCTCCCGGCCTCCCAGGTCCACTGTGATCTGGAGATCCTCCGCCAAGCGGCTGAGCTCCTGCGATCCGCCAATCCAGCGGGGAGCGCTGGTTCCAGCCGCTCTGTGGAGGTGCGCCTCGACCCGGCGAAGGGGCGGTGAAAGAGAGGAGGCGAAGGGCCAGAAGCCTGGGGTTTCAAAGATTCAGCTTGTTCATGGGTGATGGAGGTGTATATAAAGCTTGTACAAGCTTGTGGCCTTAGTTGGATGAAAGCATCGCACCAAACAACCCGTGATTCCATGAATTCCAGCCCTGTGTGCCATTCCAAGCCCAAGCTTCGTGTCTGGCATCAGGCCCGTTCCCCAATCCCGTTCCCCAACCCCTGGCAAGCACCTCACTAGCACAACAACCGGCCCCCCCCTTCCACGCCCTTCCACTGTTCCAAGACCGCGGTCTCCACGGTCCCCTCGGAGCGGCCAGGTCTTTCGCTTGGCCCAACGAGAGCTGCAGCGCGACGAAGCGGAAGCGGTCCGGGGAGCTCGGGGTCCAGGGGGGGGTTGAAGCCCCGGCAGGGCGGCGGTTCCGGTTCCAGGATCGCCGGGTAGAGGCAAGGTGGGAGTTGATCTGGTTTTTGGCAGGTGATTTGGAGGCCTGTGATGTAGTAGCGTGAACCTATGTCTGGTGTTTTGCAAAGCCAATGAAAGATCGGCGATGATGGTCCGCGCAAGTATTTTGGCACATGCCAAGCATAGACTGGCATGTTCTTTGGGAATGTGCTTCGTGATGGGTCCGCAAACCGTTCGTGAAAGACATAAGATACGTATATGCATATGTATAAGATATAATTTGTCCCTTTGCCGCGAAGAGTGGCCATTCCCAGGAAGTTCGACGTGTCCCCCCAAAGGAATGTTTTTTGGTGTTCTGTTTCGAGAGGGCGGCAAACCTTTCCGTTGGTTTCGCGGAAGCCGTTCGCTAACTCCCCCGAGCCGCACTTGGAGTGGTTCGCGCTTCGCTTCGATGGCCACAAAGAACGGATGCTTTCACTGCCGCACCGCAGCCCTTTGGAACCAGTTTAGAGCTGCTCGGCGATTAAACGCACTCGTAGGGACTGCCAGTTTCCTGAGATGACCAGCTTGCTTCAGCAACTTCCGGTGTGGGCTGGGGCGACCCTGGCCACTTGGGCCATTTGTTGGTCAGTGGTGGCGCCGGAACCTTGCCAAGATGTCCCAACATGCTCCAAGCAACTTCAAACCTATCCAGGCGACCAGATGAGAGTTCCATATGGGATGGAGATGGATGGAGGGGGTGACGGTCCGTGACAGTTATGTTCAGAATGGTTGTGCACCAGGTATTGGAACCGTTTGGTTCTTTGGGTGGATGATGGTGGATGATATCTCGCACAGAACGGGCATTCTTCGCAATTCAGCTAGCGAGTATAGAATTCAGCATCTCAATAATTCATTATATAACAACTTCAAGCATGGGGCAAAAACAAAGAACTGCGAACAGTCACCTTGGCACTCAGAAAAAGAACCAACGCTCTGGCAAGCAGCTGCTGTTGGTTTGATCGGGCTCGCGCGTACGTAGTGCGCGCTCTCCGGTGCAGCTGGCAGGATACTACCACATCGTTTCGACAGCTGCCTTGGTTGCTATGGCTGCGCATGAGATTTGTGGCCTTATCGCCACCTACATGGGATCGCAGCAGACACAAGCCTTGATCCCGCACTTGAAGAGCAGGTGCTTGTGCCCTTGGCTGGAATTATCAGATTTTTTAAAGGACCGCGGGGGTGAAGCAAAGACGACGCAGTGCCTAGTGATGCCTAGTGGTTGATGTCTCGCTTTTCCGGGTTGAGCCCCATATGAGCAGAAGGGGACTACACCTCCGGCCAAGCGGGCCGATTTGGCCGGTGAGCCAGGCGGCTGGCAGTTCCACGTCGCGGGGACCCATGGTAATCAGTTCGACACGGAAGCAACAGGCCGTGTTCCTTGGAACAGGCTCCATGTTCCTTTGATTTCGTTCTTCCGCTTTTTTTTCATACCGTTCCTGCCAGATGAGGCCCAGCTTCCTCCTGGCCTTGATGTTTGGTGTCCTGGCGACCGCCGAGCGCCTCTTCTCTCGCGCCGACTGGACCATCGCCCACGTCCAGCCCAATGCAGATGGACTCACCGCCCCTGGCCGTCCCGTGTACACGATGCAGGCGCCTGGATCCTGATGTAGGAGAGTTAAGGAGAGTTGGGGAAGGAGACTGGCCCTCACGGCCGGCGTCTTTGGAATCGGTAGCGTTGGGTGAGGGCAACAAGAAAACTCCGATCTTGGGGATCTTGGCCCGCGGGGGGGCAACCCTTGGGGGCATTTGTGAGTGGCCGGGTGGCTGGCGAGGAGGGGTTTAAAGGTTTCAGTTTCAGGACGCATGAGATATGCTGTTGACTAGCATGGCGTTTCTCAACAAAAGTGCGCTGTTTCATCTCATATCGATGTTGATGCCAGTAGAGACAGTGTATAGCACAGTAGCCTCGAGTTTCCTGTTTGTGCTCATTGTTACATTGTTGTGCAGAGAGACAGAGATAGACAGAGCGAGAGAGCCGAAAAAAGAGCGACCTCGAGTCCTCAATGGCGGATGCGAGGAAAGGAGACCGCGATGGGGTCCCACCAGCGGCCACCAGCGGCAAATACCGTAGAGAATTTGTACTGTACGGGGTCAACGGCTCAATGCCTCAGGACCCTGGGAGGGCCCTGAAAACTCAGCCAAAGCCGCCAAAACTTCTTTTGAAGGTACATGGAGTGGGGCATCAATGTGCCCATCCTGATGATCCTGTCCGGCTACTGCAGCCTGGGCCGTCCCTTGCAGGAGCCAATTCCGCTTTTTGTCACTCCGATTCGGCTTGGCGCCCCATTCTTTTGACGATGGGTCATCCGTTTTGCGACGTTTTGAGGTCATGTAGAGCTCTTAATGAAGAAGCCCCCCATTTGGATTGTAGAACCTCTTCTACCCATCGCCGCGCAAACGGTACAGAATCCTCAGCTGGGTCTGTCGCAAAACCACCCTTTTGTATCTATCTTTGTCCGGGTCTGTCGTGTGCGTCCGGTCGATGCGGCCGCCGCCGCTGAGCCGTGTGGTGATTCATACGGTAGAGGACGACCGGTTTCACCGGTGAAACCGAACGAAGGGTGAAACCGAACGAGTGCGGTTTGGTTTGGAGTTCGGAGAGGCGAAACCTCGTGCAGAGGCGAAGAAACGGACGTGACTTCTTCTTCAGCCGCTGGGCTACGAACGGTGGGCTACTACTAGGTGGTCTAGATTCTTCGATACGGTGGGTTGGTATGAGCTTCTTCCAAGATATATACGATGAATGAACTTGTATGTATCCACGCCATTAGGCGGGTGAGGACGACGAGCCAAAATCCATAGGTACTTTGGGGGGTACAACCCCAGAGTCCAAGAGCAATAAACTCTTTCAACCTGAGCATATGGGAGGTTGATCAATCAGGAGTCTACACTAACACGGTCTTTCCATCTCCCTTATGCCTGTCCCATCGTCCTGCAGGAAGTGTCTCGCCCCTTGATCGTTACCAACGTCTATGTCATCTTTTGCTGGGCTGCGACAGCAACCACGTCTGGCTTGCTTAAATGGATGCACCTCGTCGGCCACGAGGGCCTCATGTGCATCTTTGATTCATCCATCATAGAATCATGGAATCGCAGCAGCTTCAGCTAAAGAAGCGCTGCCGAATGCCCGATGGCCAGTTTACTCTGCAATCTCTAGTCCTTGCTTTGAATCTGTTCGACTTGGATGTCTCCAGGCAGGTCATGAACCGGTTTTCCTCCAAAAGACCAGGACACCTTCCCACTGGTGGACGTGAGTCGATGCAGAGATGTTCCGAGGCTGATTGGTGTTGCCTTCGCCATGTATGGATGGGCCTCCCTGGATATGTTGGCATGGGTCCAGCAATTCGAGCGTTCAGCACCACAAGATTTGCCCAGCAGAGGCATTCGACCATGGCTTTCCAATGGGCTGAGCCTGTACCTTGTGCTGTACGGTGTGGTCTACATGAGTTCCGTCATGGGATTCATCGATGCACATACGGAACGCAACCTGGATTTTGCTTAAGCTGATGCTATGCCGATTCTTAATTAACGGATATTAACGGTTAAATCCCCAAACCTGGACACTAGAAGCCTGCATGTGTTTTCCAGGCTTCGACAGCAATGCCAAGGCAAGGGATTCTTCGTTTTGACCTTTGGATCCAAGATCGCCTACTGCGCGGCCTTCGTGTTTATTCGTGCTGATGAGTACCACAAGACCCTGACGGATGTTCTGAGGAAGGTGAGCGTGTCCAACGTGGGTGCCCTGGACCTCGGAAAAACAGAAAAGACCCGGACCGAGGACACGTGGACTTGGACCTGCCTGCTGGAGGGACGGCATGTGCGAGTGTCGAAAACTGCGGGTGGGGCGACTACTCCTCAACCCACGCATGAGTAGCCTTGGAACATTGCACAGTGGACTGTTATCCTGGCTTGGTGGGGTTAAATCAATCATGCGGCAAACTTGTATGACTGACTGTTCACAGCACATTTGATGTTGATCTTTCGCGTAAGAAGGGGAGCCAAAGGAACCTTTTCACGGATTTTCGATTTCCTGACAAAACCACTCGCATCATACAGGATTTCTTTACAGGAGCATCAGAAAACCTACAGGAAACGTCCATTTGGCACCGACAAGGAACTCTTCCGATGAGGCTTTTTCAGTCAAACCACTCTGTTGCTACATACTCTGCCTGCCTTGTAGGTATGATCTCCATCCTCCGTGGAAGCTTCGACATCATCCTCCCCTGCGTCTTGGATGCTGCTGGCCGCTGCAAGTTGCCACCCCAGATGTCAGGCGACATGGAGAAACTTGAGAAGATGTTGGGCTGCCGCGTGGCGGGAGCCAACCTGAGGGATCTATTGGCGGGTGAAGATCCTTGGCAGCCGACGAAATAAGCACAGGAATGGAGATGAAACAAATCTAGGAACTTGGAGAGTATGACGCTTTTCCTGGAGTTTGCCAAGTAATTAGTGTCTTGTTGGGGGTTTACTTCTCGATTGTGACTTGGATGCTGTTGTCGTCCATGGCTGGGATCCGGTGGTGACACCGAGGAAGACAAGTCCGACTTTGCTGCCTATGTCCGCAACGTGGTTCGCCAAGCTGATTGCCCACAGGGTAGCGAAGTGAGCCTGTCCACACAGGGCATTTGGACCTGCTCGGGAGGATCCATGCCACCCATTGCGCAGGTCTTGCACAGCACCGCGGATGGATGTAGACGTTCGGCTCATTGCGGCGAAGTGGCTCACAAAGCCCACTCGCCACCGCACTTTCCGTCCTTTTGTGGGGAACAAGTGTTTGTCTTCTCTAGTGGCCCCCCCAAATGGACCAGGCTCACGAGCTGCGGGAAAAAGCAGATGGGGGCCCATTTCACTCGTCCCCCCTCCGCGATCAGGCAAGATGCTCTCCAAGCCCACCTCCGCGCGGCTCTCCGCGACGCTGCATCTGTCGGTGGTGCCTCGCTCGGCGGTGAGCCAGGGCAAAGAGCGTCACTTGGTGGCTGCCATCCAATTTGCCACCTCCATGGATGCTTGGAGTGGCGTGAAAGGGTGCGGATGGTGCGGTGGGGGCCTGCTCTGCACGGTTGAGAGGTGCTCTTTGGTGGTTCCCCTCCTGCCCACCCTCCTTTGAACTTTGTGATGGGTGTTTGGAATGGTACGAGCATAGACCCCAAGCAGTTTCAGCCGGATTTTTTGTTGGGTCAATTCCTTGAATTCCATGTTGGTGGACATGTCTGCAAATCGTAATTCCCCAACGATCTCAGGATGAATCCAAGGAAGCTGACGCTGGAATCGCCGGATTCGAGAGCTTCAAGGCCGGGGCGTTTGTGCTGGCGTGAGCAAGAAAGCACCCAATATGCCACCAGTGCTGGGGTCAAACCCCCACCCCTCCCGCCCTTTTTCGTGATCACAGGACTCTCAACAGTAACGGAACCAAGGCATCCAAGGCATCCAAGGCATCCACCTTCGGCGCCCCAAACCCCGGTGCTTCGGTGGTGCCCAGAGAGACCTCTGCAAGAGGTGGAGGACGTGCAGACCAGCACGGGTGGATCGACGCAGCTCTCCGACGTCTCTGGCTCCGCGATCGTGGCCAACCTGGCGGACCTGACGAAGCTGGGCGCCAGCGCGACTTGGAGGGAAGCGCGGAAGCGGAAGCGGAAGCGGACGGTGGTTGGGAGGGGGGACAGCGAGGCGCAAAGGCCGTGGGTGGGGGAAGCTTATTTGGGATTCAGAGGCAGAATCTACCCACTTTCTGTGCATCTTCCAGGTTTGTATCAGGACCCAATAAATAAAGCCCGCAAGGCCATTTTCTGGGAGCGATGGTTAGGTCTTCAAATGTTCTCAAATAGCATGGAACTGGTGTAGTTTGTGCCACTGATTGGCTAGGGCTGGAGTTCCACGATGTTAATGGGTGCCCGATGCGAACGGGCTGCCTCCCTCCATCCATCATCTGCATCACGCCAATCGTGTCGCAAGAAGACCTCGCCCCGTCGAACCAGGCCATCCTGCATGGAAGCTCTGTGCGGGAGAGCGAGGAAGCGAGCGCCTACTGGGGACCTTCCGTCATCTCTGACGACCCTCAGCCGGCAGCCGTGCACGTTCTTTGCGTGCTACGTCTTCGCATGCCCCACCGTAGAAGATAGGGGGCCAGGTAGAATCAGGTATAGAAGTGGCCCTAGATGAATGCAAGCCAGTGGATTCATGGTCCCCGTCCTTTCGTTGCGCCCAGCTGGGTCTGGTCAAAGCATACGGAAGAGGTACGTGGGACCGGTTCAGCACCCAAATCTGTGATGGTTTTTCCAGTTGAACTCGGGGTGTAGGTGGATGGTCTTCCACTTCCCCTCCATCTAAGCCGGTCATGGGACTGGACTGGCCGCGGACCACGTCTTCACCCATCTAAGCCGAGCCGTTCAGGAGACGATGTCACACCTGGGAGCCTTTGCGGCTGAGAAGACGCCCTTCCAAGCGCCCTTTGACGCTCGCATCGCTGGAACCTGGGAGGGCACCACGAGCGAGAAGTTGGGCAGAGACCTGGTTTTGCTGGCTTCTTCTTTTTTAAGTTTCTCTATGGGTGAATCCATGTGAATCCCCTTCCGGCAAAAATATGTCGTTACATTCGTCTTTTTTTTTCTCGGTTCCTTTAGCAAATCCAAGGTTATGACCAGCGGATTGAGTTCCACAACGATGCTGGGCAGCAGGTCGTGAGGGTGGGTCTGGGGATGTTTCCCCTGTTTCCCCGCGAACCGCGCGGTTCAGGATGGCGGCATAGCCTATGAATCGTCTATATACTTGGGAATGTTCGATGCCGTGGTTTTGGATGATGGAAGCTGTCGCCAGCATTTTGCTGAGTGTGACGGTGAAGTAGATGGACATGGAACACGAGTGTCCCTCAAGAGATCTCAAGAGCATATTTGTCGACAAAAAGATTACTTAAAGGCAGCTCAAGCCGTTTTTTCTTCCCGCTCGTGGTGGTGCGCGATCTTTCCATTCTTGGTGTTTTTCTACACGTCTTCAGTTGCAGCCCGCTGGATGTCGTAAAGTGGTGACCATCTCCTCACCACTTTACATTTTATCGGGTCCATTCACGCTGTCTGACAAGGACTGCATCCATGTGTCCATCACGCTCATGGGGCAGAAGTTGGAAGGTCGCTTCCGCATGAACTGTGCCGTGGAGCCTCACCAGTTGGATATTGAAGTCCTCGGAAGCATCTTGGCCCATGAAACGAAGGCCCCGCAGGGTCTTGTGAGGCAAGAAAGGTGGAGGCCAGCTATGCTTTTGGCAAAGTCCACCTGTCCATTTCTGAGTGAGTGGATCAGCGGCAGTCTTCTTGAAATCCCTCGTCTCTCTCTCTCTCTCTCACTGATGGATGTCGTTTTTGCTCAACCTTCCCTTAGGCCAGCCAGTGACGCTGCCATACATCTTCAAGTTCGATGGACAAGGCCGTTTGCACCTCTGCGGCCCCTCCGACAAGCGCGCGGTCCGCCCGTCGCAGTTCGGGGGCTCGGGTCTGTGCATCATGGAGCGCGTCAGCAAGTCCGGAACCCGCCGCGGCTCCTCGCGTGCCGCCTCGAAGACGGGAAGCTTGTGGCTTGGCGCGGGACTCGGGGGGAGGCACAAAAGAGGGAGGATGGATTTTAAAGATTCGATTTTCCAAGAGGCGCCAGGTCCAGGCGTACCCCCAGATAGGTCTAGGTGCTGCAGAAGGTTGCGCTGAACATCGCCCGAAGGACCGCTTGGTCGAGGTCGCCACAGCATCAAAGCCAGGATAGAAGGACACTTTGTTTGTGTTGTTTTGCCCCCCCGGCTCCATACTATATATATATATGTGTGATTATATGTGTATATATATATATGCTGCCTCAGTGCAGTTGTGGCACTGCATGCATGCGAGCCCCCAGATACTGCTATCCCCTTGGGCGGGTCACCTCGAGCTCCTATCCTGGCCGCCCCCCGGAAGCTACTTGACAGCCATGACTTGACAGGTGCTTTGAGCCTGACCCGGAATTTAGCCGCAACAGCACGGCCGAAAGCGAGAAGGCCGCAACTCGAGCCGGAATCACTGTGAGAGGAGGAACCGTTTCGGTGAGGTGTAGTGGCTTGAGCGAGCCTTTTTTGGAGCCTTTCTGGCGACATATTCGATCAGCATTTCATACTTGGGGGAGGTGAATGTCAGATTTCCTGCCAAAAAGGCGAGGGGCTAGGAAAAGATCATCGAACATGGAGAATCAATTGGCCAACTGGCTTGGACAATCTGCGTTCGCAAAGTGGCTTTGGTCCACTTTCGACTGAGGGAGGCAAGCCTCCAAGTCAGCCTCGACACATGCTTCAGGGGCTCAAAGAATGATTTTGAGGGTTCTGCTGCATGTCCAGCAAACTCCACATAGGCATCACAAGCCAGAATCCTGCAACACCTGGTCTTTGGCTGCTTCCAAAAGATAGTCGGGCACACCTGTCAGCTTGCGATCACGATCCTACCACTTCCTGGCTGGTAGCACCTTCTTGGGCACCCGCGATGAGACCCTGAACACCGGATCCGCCCAGGATCAAGTCATGAAGGTGGCCTGCGAAGTGGGCAAGGCAGGGTGCATGCATGTAGCTGCGAGCTGAGCTGCCCCCGAAGCAGCAAGCTGGCCGGGCCACCATCACCATGAAACAGTTCACATGAGGCCATATTGCAGAGATCATGATTCTGGGGTGTAAGGGAGATCCGAGAAAGACACCATCTAGAATCTAGAGTGGCATTTCAAGAAGTCCGATTGCATCGTGGAATTGTGGAGTCCCACCCTGGCGGGAAATGTGGCACCTCAGGGCCTATTCTCACTTCTTTTTTGAGCGAAGAGTTCTTGGTGACACGTCATGTTTGGAAGAACAAAACCAAAAGATGAATCATCGGTGAGTTTGTCATGGATGCATAGCCACCAGCCGGGATCGGAACATGCCTTTGTTAGGCTGCCAGGATGTTCTTTCCTAAGCTCCTTGGCTGCCAGGAGCTTATCAAGCCGAAGCAAAGCAAGGGTGTTGTCAGCTGGATCGAGGAGCGCCAGCTAGTTTGTCAGCTGGATCGAGGAGTGTCAGCTAGTTGCAATTTGAGGGGCCAGGCCCCAAAAACCCATGGTCCTCAGGTCGTTTGACGATGCCAGGGTGTCTCCAACGACATGTTGAAGGCATGTGAACTCGTTCGATCTGGGGTGCAAAAGAGGCCCAATTCATTTTGGCGGGTTGACCTTTTGAGGCGACGTTGCTGGACCAACTGATGGGGGTCCGAGATCTTGAGCCCAGTGGTGGAGAAGGTTGGCACCCGTTTTGGCCCCTCCAAGAAGCGCCCCCCCCTTGGAACTCCACCAGATCCGGTTTTGGCCCCTGGATCTCATCCAGTCTGATTGCCCAGACCTTCCTAGACCCCAACCCCTGGGCTCTGCGTAGGATCAGCCAGCCATGGCCGCATCCATGGCATTGGCCCTGACCAGTACCATCATCGCCTTGCGCAAGTCCATTTGAGCGACTCACGCGAAGAGGTGGATCGACTCCCGAGGCCGCGCGCGCGGTGAAACATAAGTAAGCCAAGGCACCATTTTTGGTGAGAGAAGTGGTGGTGAGATGGAGAAATCTTTAGAAGGTGTAGGCTCACTTGGGTCACATGTCGGCATTTGGGGCGCTTGGTGTGGTCAGAGTTGCATCGAGGTCCTCATTTCAAGCCTAGTTGACCTTCAAGAACCCTCATTTCGAGCATCCGAGTGCTCCTATCAGTTATCATGTTGCACCACGGGATCAAGTCAATGGCAGAATACGAGTGAGAAGTTCCAGGCACACCAGGCACTGTCAATCATCGTGCAGGCTCCTCTGAAGTCGCAGCTTAAGCCAAGCGAGGTTGGCTTCGCAAGCGAGGTTGGTGAAGATTCTGATTTAAGGTTCTATGTTTCAGACTGGGATCCTCGGAAGCGGGGCTGCGTTTTGCCAGACTCTGTTTCTTCCGATTCCCGGTCTTGGTTCCCGGCGTTTTCAGCCGAAGTTCCAAAGGGTTGGCATGGGCACACGGGCACGCATTCAAGACGGAAAGGATGCATACCGCTTCGCCAAGGGAATCTGAGACATTTTGATCGTTTTTGCATGTTGAGACAATGCACGGAAGTGGCCTCGCCATCCTTTAGATGCACAGAGAGGGCCAGATAGACCTCATCCTTGTATGGAATGCAAGAACCCTAGAAGTCCAAACCAAAGGCTAGTTTTGGCACCACCGACTTTCAGGCGACCCAGGTAGACAACTCTCCTTAAATCGTCATGGACTTCCAGGGAGAGGCATTCATCATTTCTTTCCTTGAGAATTCCACTTCTCAAGACCTGCCAAGCCTGCTGGGAAAGCGCCATTGTTTCAAGCTGGATCGACGCGGATGGAGGGAGCAGGGGATGGGGCAGCATGGTGCGTGAGTAGATATATATATATATTATATATAAGTCCCTGGTGCTGAAAAATATTGGATACTTTTCCCACACATCCTGTATAGTTTCTGTTTGGGCTGCTGCCATCCGACTCTACACCAAGATAGCTCCCGCAAACACGGATCTGGCTGGCTGCTTTCAGCAGATGCTGGACCAGACAGAGGTCCAAAGCGCAACCCGCGCTCTTCAAGCCAAACAAACTGTGCAGCGCGCGATCAGCTTGGGAATGGGGATCAGAGGGGGCCAGGAGCTCCTTTTCAGTGTTCGGGTCCATTGTTTTGGTGGCTTGATGGAATATGGAGCATTGACCACCCAAAACACTCCTGCAAGAAGCGCAAACGACCAAAATTCCATTGGGGGTCCACCCCTATATGGCTGTGGGTCTAAACCAGAATATGTTGGTTGACCTGCCTGGGAGGTCTTTCGCTACATGGTGGGACCAGGGCTCCAGGTTTGGACGCCACAGCCATGGCCTACCTGCATCGTGACCCAGACGACCGGAACCCGATCCGGAACCGCCACGGAAGCGTTCGGCGTTGGGACGTGCCGGGATCTTCCGAGAATGCTGAATTTCTGCACATTTCGTGTTCCCTGCCTTAGGGAAATTAACCCGAAAGGTACCTCCCTCTACTCTCCCATCTTGGAAGTGTACATCATATTTTCAACATTTTAATCTTTAAAGACTACCCAAAGGCAGACTTTAACCAAGCTTCAAGACAGTTGGAAGATCCAGGTATGAATGGAATACCCACCGTGTGAACGCGGCATGGGGATTCATCTCTTTTTCTCCCCCCACTCGGATGATGAGAGTCTTCGCTTCGACGCTCGACGTCCTTCGTTCACCGTGTGGGAGCCGAGGCTGAAGCCCAGCGACAGCTTTCGGAGCAGGAGAGGGAGGCCCCGTCGCATCGCCTGCGCATCACCCGCCTGCGCATCGCGTGAGGGCTGGGAAGGGGGGGCCTGGAGTGGGTGGCTGGGGGTTTGGGACAGGAGAAGCGACGGCAGAAACGGCATCAGACGAGACGCGTCAATGTTTCAAAACCGACGAATCCTGCTCAACGAAGAAGCCGACGGCGTCATGAACCCCGAGCGGGCCCTTTTTCAACAGGATTCCATGGTTGTCAGTAGAACGGGATTTGCATCGGTGCCCTTGAGTAGAAGAAGGATGAAGAAGGCGCTTTGCCTGCCGATGGTGCCCTTGGATTCTCCCAGTTGGACGAGTCACCTGCACACCCATTCCGCGCGCCGCGGGGCGGGTCGAGATGCAGAAACGAGACGCCGAGACGCGCGAGACGCGCCCTCACCCGAGGAGCCGGTGGAGTTGACGAAGTCCCACATTTGTGGAGTTGGAATGTGGGAATTCCAGCAACCGTCAGCATCCAACCAGTCGGGATCTTGTGCACCCGCAAAGCTGTTGGAAACCAGCTGGTCACTGGGATCTGGGGATGTACCATCCACTGCAGAAAGCATGGGCCCAACATCACTTCATTGCTCATCTTCGGTGCACACTTCTTCGCCCTGCATGGCCCACACGAAGGGCGCCGAGCGCTAGGTTCACAATGAGCAGCTCAGCCGCTACTTGCTGGACCTGTCCTGGCAAAAGGACGCCCTCAAGGCGGCCGGTGGGATCGGGAACCGGATCGGGAACCCACCTGTCCACACAGCGAGTTGCGACGTGGCGAGCGAAACAACAGGTGCACGCCCAGAAACCAAAGGTGCCCAGTTCTTTTCTAATTCATACATGGAGTCCGAATAACTCATAACAGTCCACACCCATCGTGGCATGACAGTAGTTCTCATTTCTCCTAGAACTGATGTCCATGTTCTTCGACGATTCATCGCCACCCCGAAGCCCACAGACAGTTCAGTGGAACATGGCCCAATCTCTTGCGCGCTTGCTTCGGTTCGACGCGGCACCAGGCCATGATTGAAGACCTGCAGAACCACGAGGCGTTTTTTCGAGTTCAGTGGCTGAGTGCACACAGTCACAAGTGGGGTGGGTAGGTGCAGATGTGTTTTTCATACGCTTCCACCTTATTCCAGGAATTTTAAGTTGCAGGCTTTCTTCGTGCCTGCATGCCGGCGACACTTGCAAAAGTGCTTGCGCATGGCCAAGGAAAAATACCGTCCAGTTTGTCCGTGCCAGGTGGTCGCCATAAACCACAACTGTCCATTTGTTTTCTCTCTGCGGGTGGATTTTTTGGGGGTTGCCTTCCGCCGACCTGATCGGGTCGCGCCAGACGGCTGGATTTGATCCGTTGGTTCGTCGGCCTCTTCGATGACCGGAGAGGCCTACACCATTCTGGGTGTGGCACCGGAGATTTCGGATTCAGACCTCAATAAGGCCTACAAGGCCCGATTGGGAGACGGCTTGGTGAGCAAGAGGTCTCAGATTGGACCTGCACATGTGAATTCACCTCCAAGGTCACCTGCCATCAGCATCCCTGTATGTCTTCTCTTTGGATTTGATTGGAACGGAGAACGGAGCGTGATGCGTGAGGAACCTCCACCAGCACCGCCGGCACGGCCTCCAGGCTGCCGCGATGCGACTTCATCCGGACAAGGGGGGCAACGCCGAGCAGTTCAAGGCAACCGGCAGTCAGCGACCCCTCTGAAGGGTCCGGGCCGCGTGGTCCTGCTTCCGGAAGTGTGTGTGTGTGTGTGTGTTGAGGATCTAATTGATCTAGACAGTTTATCAATAATGCAGCCGATATGATGAAGAGGTTTCTGAATCCAAATGTTTCCTTCTTCTAAAATTAGCCACTAGCCCACCTGAGCTGCAGAGTTCGTCACTCGCTTGAGGGTCCACCGATCGCGGAAAGTGCGGCAGGCCGCGCGTGCTGCCTACGAACGGATCTTACAGACTAGGCCGGGACCGACGGTTGGACCGACGGGGGGAATGAGCCGGAAAGAGCTGCAGGAACGATGTTCCATGAAGCACCACTCACCACCCAAGGGGGTGGAGGGGCCCGACACACATCCATGGATTCGGACTTGGACCCGGCATCGGTTTGGTGCTTGGAATGGAGAGATGGCAAGGAAAAAAGCAAGGGTCTTTGGGGTGTTCCTCCATCCTTCAGAGTGAAGATAGTGAAGCGATGAAGCTACGTGGCGCCATTGGGAACTCACAGGTTGGGAAGAACCCCCGTAGATGTGCCTTTGCCACATTGCACTACCCCAAATCCCCTGTTTAGAAACATGATTGCACTGACTGTCTTCCCTTTCGAGCACGTGACTGGGTATTGGGAATGAGAAAAGCCTCCAATTTCCAACGAGCCTGTTTGATTGCAACTATAGGACCCCCAGAACTACTGGTTGAATATGAAGCAGCCACCATGTGACAGCTTAAGTCGGAGCAGTCCTTGGTCGGAGTGAGACATTTGACTATCAAGGTTGCAAGAATTTGGGCAAACTGTGGCACATGTGCATGTATGTTTGTGTGCTCGTGTGCGTGTGTCAATTATAGTAAGAAGAAAACCTCCAGCCAATGCGTTTTTGAGAGGGCCCCCCTATTGAAATGCACACCCACGTCTCATTTCTGTTTTGGCGACTGATTTGCGTGCTTGATTGGACCTTGGGCTACCATCTATCTACACCTGCTCAGGCAAGCTCAGAGCTCCAAGGAGGCTGAGACGGAGGCGCAGGAGGCCAAGGAGGACGCCAAGGAGGAAGTGGAGGTGAAGGTGGGGCCGGAGCTCTGGAGGTGGTTCTGGGTTGTTTGGAATTATATGGAATTATGATTTGTCGACCTGGGGTCAGTTCTGGAGAGGTTCAGGAGAGAAACTTCCACATGTGCCTCCTCCCTACTTCCCGGTTGTCGAGCGCCTTGCCCTTGGGGGCAAAACCTGGTGTGGTCATACCTGTGCTTTTGAACCATACTCGTGTTTGGAGTGGGAGGATGGAGATGAACATCCCGACTCGCAACAACCCAAGGCTCGGCTCCTTCGGCTCCTTCGGGTTCGGTCCTCGAGTCTGACGGGGGTGTTGAGCATGTCCTTCTGCCTGAGCGGAGGACGGAATGGAGGTGGAAGCATCTGAACGGCTAAGGGCGGTGGATCGCTTGGTTTGACGGTGGACTTGGGTTTGGCCAACGGTGCGCCTGAAACCGATTTTGGGGTTATGTTTTTTCCCGAATTTGCGCACATGTTTCAAGTGGTCTTCTAGCACAAGGGTGGCACTCATGAAAGACGGCGTGCAGGGCTTTCTAGAGCTCATCCAGTGCTGGGCTCCGAAAATGATACCTTGTAGCATCCTTGTGTTCTCTGAGTGGGATGGGGTATACCTTGGCTCTTGTGGCTTCCGGCCGATGCAGTGTGCCAGTGCAATCCATTTCGCAAGGTGTTGAAACATATGTAGCACTCACAGATTCCTTCGAGCAAGCGAGAGGTCCACAGGAGATTGCACAGATTAAGAGAGTTTGTAATTTGTTCACCTTGGCTTCTTCACAAACATGAAGCAACAAGAGGGCAGCTTGAGACTTGCTTCTTCTCTTCTGCATGTGGCCCTTTCAACCTCGTCGCTGATGGGCATGCAGCGGATGAGCAGTCCCTGCCTCTCGGATGGAGGTGTTTTCGTGGGGCACCAGACCCAAGGAACAGGGGCGAGGACCACCAGGCCCTCCCAAGAGGGAAGGCCAGAATCCCATCATCCACCTACCAGGCCCAGCTCCATGTGTAGAAGAGTTATACAGTGATACAGGTCACAGTATTGACATACAATGGGTGGGATGGTTCGCCAGGTCCTTGCTTTGGAGCTCGATGTCTCCGCCGCTATTTAGGCGACAGCTGGGTGGAGAACCTGCAGGCGCCCTTGGATGCGTTGATCTCTCGCTTGTGCCTTGGAAAATGGGGCCACGTCCTTCAGCGACCAACCCCATGCCTCTCGCCACTCCCCACACTTTGAAGCTGAAGGGGCCTGGGCCAGGGACCAGTAGCACTCTGCCTGCAAACAAGGATCCACCATGGGCAGAGCAGCAGTTTGGGATGCCTTGCTCGTTAGCTCGTTGCTGCACCATGCCCTCATTTTCCAGTTGAAGGGACAACCCACTACTGTAGTTTTGGGGGAGGCTTTTGCGCCTGTGGCGTCCGAGGTTTTCACCACCAAAGAGGCGGCCCCCCCCCCAAATCCGATCCGACCCCGCCGATCGTCCGTCCCGGGTGCGGCGCGGGGGCAGCTCCGGAGGTGGGAGGAGGTGACCTTCCTAGTCCACGGCGACGGTGGTGGGGTTGGTCATGACTTCGAAGGCCCCGACCTTCGCCAGGGTCACCCAGGGTCGGGCCCCAGGGTCGAAAGGAGGTCTTAAGATACCGAGCATTCGATGGTCGAACGGAACATTCGATTGGAAGCTGAACCGGTGTGAGGCTGGAGTTGAATCGAAAGCAGCAAGACGAACTCCAAGAAGTGGTGCAGCTGCATCGCCATGCGCTGGAGGCCTTAGAGTCACTTGGCATCAACCTCCCCAAGTCATGGCCTGGGACCGAAAAAAAGAGATGAGTCTACATGGCATGAACCCTGCCATTGAGTGTTTTGTTATAGCATGTTATAGCTGTCTCACCACCGCGGCGTGTGCCAGCGCATGTCTCACCGATCCGGAGGAAGTTCGCCCAGTTCGGTTCACTTCGCTGTCCGGATTCCGGAGTCGGATTCTGCTGCCGTCCTGCTTGTAGAGTTCTGCTGCGCGTGACGCCGGGGCGAGGAGAAAGGAGCATCTCCGCACCATCTCCGCACCAGTTTTGGGCGTGGACGCGTTGTGGCGCACGAACGCCGTGCAACGGACCTCGCCGGTCGGTCGCCCAAGGAGGCCCGTCGTGGTGCACGACAGCTTGGGGAGCTACGAGTTCCCGCCCTCCGAGGGAGCGCGAGGGGAGTTGGAGGTGCGAGGAGACCTGGAGGCGCGGTCGCGTCCGGTCGAACCAGACAGAACTTCCAGATGACTCACTGTACACTCATGTTAACATATGTTAACTATCGCTCACTATAGCTGTTAATGAACATGTAACTTATAACTTACCCTAGGCTTCCAACAACCATTAACTTGATGGGCTTTACCGAATCAACTGAGGATTTGACACTGCAAAAACCAGGTCAACCATTTTAAAAGTGGTCTTGGACCTTGGAAGTCTAGGGTTATAGTGCTGAAACAACCAGTCCTTCGGAGTCGAGAGGGGCAGATGCCACCGCCCAACCGCTTATTGCTGAACCGATTCGCCGTGATTGCCTTTACGCGTCGGCTGAATGGTGGAGCAATCAGCATCACCGGGACCTCAGATTGGATTGGGTCAGTTTTGTGGGATGTTGGAGGCCGTTTGAAAGGTGAGACGTAAGGTGAGAGGTAGTCTTCCGTTCCATTGAGGAGGAATGCACTAAACCGAGACCACCGGAGACCACGTGGTGCGCAGGACCTGCGGCCTCAAAAGCCGAATCTGCCGGACGAAGAGGCGGTGCGAGAGCAGACGTGTTCTTTTTTGGGTGGAACTGGTGCGATTTTCGTCCCAGAATGGGTTTGGAAGGGTAGATCATGATGATGAATTTCATGTTGAGCTTTTCCGTTAATGGATTTTGACGATTTTCACTTTCGAACCGATGGATTTCCTATAAGCTTTTCCCTTGAAGCAAGTCTGCCATGATGAGCAACGACACCCGTTGCTGAAAGGGGGTTGATCCATAGCCCACAATCTGGGCACCCAGGTTAGTCCAGGTTTGGGGCCCAGACTTCGTGGTTTGAGGAGCTTCAGACAGCGACCTGGTCAGGTGCCCTCGGGGTGCGAAGCCGACGGACTCGGTGACGGCGCGGACGGCAGGCTGAGACGTGCCGCTTCCAGCCGCTGTCGTCCACCTTCTGCACCAAGCAGCCCTCTGCGCCGGACGATGACGATGCGCTGTGCCGAAAGGACCATTCTGAGGGCAAACATGTTTCGTCCCAACATGTTGTTTGGTTTGCTGGTTGTGTGAAAGAGGAACGAACCTTGGAGAACCTTTCTCCTGAATTGGAACGAACCTTTCTCCTGTGTGGCAGCCCCTTTCTCCTTCTTCTCATTTTTTCTCCTTCTTCTCCGGCCGTTGGCGCCCGTTGGCCAGGCCGAAAGCTTTGAGCCGCTGGAGCAGCGCACGAATAGCACCGCCAGAGATCTCTCTGAGAGGTGACGCGTGACGGGCGCGTGACGGTCGCGTAATGGGGGGTCTCAACGCAGCTGCCTGGTCTTGAAGAAATGGTTCTTCTTTGTCTTTGTGCATTCAGCCGGGGTGAACAATGACAAGTTGGGCAACACTGGCACTCAGTCTGTTTCTTCAAGGTGGGATGCATGAGCTGCTTTGCGAATCTTCTAGCGTTCCTGCCTTAAAAGGAGCTGAGGTGAACAATGACAAGAGACTGTGCAGAGACGGCACGGGCCGGTCTTCACCCCCTTGGTTACAACTTGGGCCCACCCAGATCTTGGATTCCCTTGGATTCGATGGTGCGTCGCATTGGATGAGATGCTTCTTGGGATCACATCCATGGGGTCCCCGCGTCCGTGTCAGCCCCAAGAGCGGACAGAACAGGTGAAACAACTCAAGAAACACCGAAAAGAGCGACCCCCGTGAGCACGGGGTGCACCAGGAGTATTGGATTCCCAGATTCGCAGCACCGTGAATGATGGATGGCGATGGACTAGTACTGTATACTGGTCCAAAAGTGGATCTCCGGACGCGAAAAAAACGAAGGTCCGATGTGGCTCGTGCCCGTGCGTCAGAGGCTGGAGGACAGTCGCTCGGAGCGAGTGTCCACGTGGTGCGGGAGCCCAGAAAGACCCGCCGCGACCGTTCCTGGGCGGGACGGGCCGTGAGGTCGTGGGGCGGTGCAGAGCGATGAGTCCCTGAAACGCAGCTCCAACAGCAACAGGGTAGTCTAGGGGTCTCTACACGGCACCCAACTGGACAGGTCCACCAGGCTTGCCACGTTGGAGTCTTTCTTCGCCCCTGTCGGAGACGTGGCGGCCCCGGCATGTTCGTGGGACCCGCGCGGGACCGTGCTGCGAGGACCACCTCGCGCACCCCGGGCGAGCTGGCGACGTCCTCCGCCGCAAAGGATCTGAAGTTGGCACAGGAGCTGGAGGGGTGAGGGGTGAGGATAAGGAGGGTGGGGAGGAGCCCTGGGACTGGGCAGGAAGGGGAGCCCTGCGACTGAGAAGCAAGCTGGCTGACTTTGAGTGCTGGTCTTTGGGTTTGCTGGTGTCCCAGCTTTAGATGTGGTCAGGATTCGTTTGTTTGCTTGCACCTCTCTCTCTCACAGTCGAGAGAGAGAGAGAGAGAGAGATCGCATCAAGCGGCAATGCTATATCCAAAAACCCGGATGTCAAGGACTCCCCACAGGACCAGGGCTTAGCCAGGACCCAAATGAGGGGGCCTGAAGACAGACAAAGCAGGAAAAACGAAGAAACCCTCTGTGCACGGCAGCCGTTGGCTGTGGCCCTTTCCCGCAGCGATGGAGGATCATTCCACAGATATATATATATATATATAGGGTCAAGTAGTTCATTGACCGGATGGAATTAGGCCATTTAGATAGATCTATATATATATATATATACCTAGAACCCAATTGACCTCTGTTTTGATAGGAAAAAACCCTATTTTGAGTGGTTGGTGGTGCAAAAATAGAGGTCACTCAGGTTCTAGGTATATATATGTCCTTGGACTGGAACGCCTTTGTCTGAGTGCAGGGATGGGAGGTGGCGCGCACACACCACGCCCCGAGGTTGGTGGGTGTCGACACCGGTCCCAGAGGGGTTCCGTAAGACCCAGAAGAAGTCTTCAGAGAGTTGACTGGGGTGTGGGCATCGAAAGAGTGCCCTTAACTATATAGTGATAGATAGTGATAGAAGTAATGCTAGGATTCCTGGCCCACCCTTGATCAAAGAGTCTGAATCCCCAAGAACCCTTGTTACAATACCCCAAGATTTGAGGACGACAAAACCAGAAGGTTCAGGGTTCGGAGAGTATCTCAGGATCGGTATGACTGATGCAGCCTGGCTGTGTCCAGAAACAGCGATTACATCAATGGGTCAGGAATCGTAGCAGCACTCTTTTGTTGCTTTTAATCGAAGTGGATGCTTGGAAGACCACTTTTCCTCTACCAACAGGGGGTGCCTCCACTGACCAGGGAGAGTATAGTATACTTCTTAGGGCGTTCTTCCTCTGCTTTCCAGGCCGACTTCATCCGAATCCGCGCGGTTCGATTGGGCCGCCCTTTGGAACCGATCCGACTGCGGTGGATCTGGTCTAGAGGCTAAAGCACCCATAGATCTTCTGGAGACCTGCACTCTTCTAACAGGTCTCCCCTGGAGGCTTTTGCAGCCTTAAAAGTCGAAGGTGGTGATCCGTTCGGAGGGTCTATAAGGAGTCGATCGTCAATATCTCCAATGTGAAGCATCCTGAACACATCCCGCAATGAAGGCGTCCGTTCGCTGTTCTTCGTTCGCCCTGTTCTTCGCCTTCCCCTGGGTTCTCCGGAGCCGTCCGGGGACTGGCTGCCCGCCTCACATGCGGCGCCTCACGAGCGGCGCTGGCCGGCTCGGTCCCCAGGAGCGGCGCAATGGCTTTGATACGGCCATCGGAATTCTGGTGCTCTTGCCGCTCGACAGGGCCACGGCGTGTATGGCTGGGAGGACCTCCCAGCCATGGGGGAGCTCTCAGCCTCGTTTCCTTCCAATCAATCTTTGGGGCTCCGACTCTTCAAATACCCTATATTGTTGGATGAAAGACCGGGGGCGAGAGCAAAAAGAAGGCCCGATCAAACCGTGGATACCATCCATCGCCCATGTGATCGACCGGTTTCGAAGAGCGTCCAGGCTTTTCACCTAGATTCATTTGCAACTTGAATGGGTGAACTGTACTACTGTACTGGTTTTGGCGGAGTTTTCTAGACAACTGGCAGGATTTTGTAACGAAGCTGTTGAGAAGCGCATCAGTCAGCACATTTCCTAAACAATCGTTTTCAAACCGTTTGCCTCTTCCCAGAAGAGCTCGGAGGACCTTTGTAAGCCTGTAGCGCTATGTTGGTTGAAAAGAGGAAGTGAAGAGCTTGGCTCAGCCAAATGCTCCATGTTCCATTGATTCATGCCCGATACTGCCTCGTTGTGGCCCCAACTGCCCAACAAAGAGACTGAAGTGAGGTTCAGGTGGAGGCACCCTGAATATCCTGAATGGTTTATGGCAGACCAGATTGTGAGTTTCTAATTGCTTTGTCGGATCTTCGTCTACTGAAACTCACACTATCAAACACCTCCTTCCCAAAGGTAGCACTGATAGCACGGAGTGAACAGGTACCAGTATCAGCTCGAGCTTGTAGCCTGTTTGATTCAGTTAAGTTTCCAGGTGACATGCAACCGTAGAGTCATAGAGGTCATGACAGGAGATGGCTTTTCCTTCAGGTAAGGAAGGCTTCGCGCCCATGGTTTTTACTGTCCCACCGTGATGTCACCGGCCAAGGAATGCCTTTGTGATGGTTCTAGACTTGGAATGCCAAGGGAATCAAGCAGGACTGGATGCTGGCATCATTGGCCTGAACGTGTGGAGTGGCTTTGAACCTGCCATCAATGCGCCTTGGCCTGGGTTCACTTCTGCACACGGCCCTCGACCGTGCCCAGGACCAGCGACTAGGAGAGGATTGTGGGCATCCCTTACAGGACAAGACGTTGTTGGCACCGACTGAAGTCCAGTTCGACTATGTTTTGACCGACTGAAGTAAATAAAGGACATTCCTGAACTCGGGTCACCTAAGACAATTATGTTCTTATGGTCTTTGACTCCCAGGGTTGGTGTTTAGTAAAACCTCCATGAAGAGGCTTTACAATCCATGGCCTTGCAATCCAAATAGGGGCGGTATTCAATCAAGATTCTTCTCTTACTTGATGTTGACGACATCATGAACAATGGTCATTCCATTTTTTACGAGGGGTAACGAGGGGGTTGTGAAAGAGATGAGCGCCTTTCGTGTTCTTTTCTGTGCCTAGGGAGTCGGCTCCACGCCAAATTCACAGTTGCATCGGAATGTGTATGGAGTAGTAAGTAAGACTTATGGTGTGTCCCATTACTTGCAGAAATATCGCCTTGCCTGGGCCATGTTGAACTCCCAGGTAGTTTACATTAAATCCTGAATCCTGAGGATCAACCCTAGGTGTCGGCAGCAAAGAGGGCTAATCATTAAAATGCCCACCAACACAACGTAGACCCCTGCAGCATCCTAGTCACGTTGGGAAGTCGTTTGTGAAGTATGTATGTTTGCCCGAGATTGCTCTAGTTCATGCTAAGACCCCAAGACCTTATAAAGGGCCTCCTGTTCTGTTTTGAAAGGCAGTATTGGTTGCGAACTATATATGTTGAACATGACGTTGAAGTTGATGTAAAAAAACAGTTCCGAGCCCAAAGACGCCCCCACTCACAACTGTCCTTGGTTCCAGATCCTTGACTCGGTGTCCGAACTCTTAGGGAAAGCTAAAACAACGTAGGAAAATTATATCCTATCTACGTACTGTAATGTGAGGTATGTATTTGGCAGCTCCCCCTCACCATTCTTTTTAGGTTTTTTAGAAGTACCCTAAATTCAAATACAAATTCATGGACATCATTTGCTTTCAATTGTACAGTGGTGGGTGTTATGTGTATAATTATGGCTGACCTGCTAATTACCATCTAACATTATAGTGGTTTCAGAGTAGATGGCACAATCCCCCCAAAGGTGGTTCATATGGACCCCCATCTTGAGGTTAACCTGAAATCACTGCATTGGGAAGCTGAGCAAATGCCTCACAAGGTGATGGAACACTGCTTCGCCGTCGCCTTTTTGTTGGAGCTGTGCTATCGCGTCTACAGCGAGAGGTGCAAGTACTTCAAAGAGGGCATGAACATCTTCGACACCGTCCGGCTGGCCTAGTCCGGCTGGCCTTCAGTCCTCCCAAAAACCCAAACCTCCGGAGACATGTCCCACCGCATGCCTCTCGGCCCCCGGTGTCTTCCGAGGCCCCAAGCCAAATCACTCCCCGAGTTCACTCGCAGAACGCTCGGTTCGGGGGTCGGTTGAGGGGGTCACCTGGCCTATGCGACCCCTGAAGGGTCGGTCACGGTGGCGGGACGAGGGGTTTCTTTGGCCTTTGGTTTCGGTCCTGGGTTTTCAGGTCTGCAGAGTCTCATGTTGAGGTCTTGGTGGCAGTGGCGTGTATCGATCTCTACATCCTCACGCCCCTGTTGGCCACCTCCTCCTTCAACAACACCTCCACCCTACGGCTGCTGCGCACGGTGAAGCTAGCACCTCGGTCGCTGCGCTCGGTCGCGTACCGCGCCGGTCGTCTCGGTTGCTGCGCGGCTGCGCCCGGTCGCTCCGGTCGCCGCGCCGGTCTTCGTTAGACCACCTTTTCTCCCTTTTGGGTGGTCTTTTCTGCCCTTTTTCATCCCTTTTTCATTCGTTTTTCCTGCCCCCTTGTTCTGGGGTGGGTCATCCCCTGAGAAGGGATCCAGAAGTTTGGGGGTTTCGTATGGCTTCGAAGGGGCATAGCTTCGTGGGTCTATATAATAGCTCTGTGTCTGGGGTGCATGATCCATAATATGGAGTGATTTGAATCACCCATAAAGTATATATATATATACACCCATAGATGACAATGACATATAGATTATATATAGTTGTAGGTAGCCACGCCGTGCTGCTCGTACGCGTACGACCTACTCGCCGTCCTCCGGCCTTCTTCCATTCACCCATTCACCGCCTCAGGTCCGCGCGGTCCGCATCGTGCGAGCGCTTCGGTTATTTCGAGGAGACCTGGATCCAAACAGCACGAGGGGACGCACCCCAGGGACGAAGAAGACACCCCCCTGGGCCGGGTGTGGAGCTGGTTCCGGCTGATTCGGGGTGTCCAACCATGCCGCGTGGCTGGTGGGGCATACTAGAGCCTAAGGTTAAGGGACCCAAAAGACCCAAGGACAGGCAAGTGGGATGTCGGCAAGCAAACCATGTGAGACTGAACGAGTTTTCCCCTTCTGTGGCGCTTTTGGCAAATGGCGATCCCTGTGATACTCTTGAAGGTTGCTTTTCGGGGGCGACGGTTCATATCGAAGAGGATGCGAACCCGGTGAGGACGTGAGGGAAAAGGCCGAACCGAATCGATCGAATCATCTTCAAACCGAATCCTATCCCATTCCATCTGCAGCCCCGCCCCTTGTGGGGCCCGATGTCCACCTCGGCAGGTCCATCCTATGGCCGCTCTTGGGCTGAAGGAAGGTGCAACTTCTGGGCCCCTGACATGCAAAGGTGATACCTTACCAGTGTCATTCTCAAAGCAGCACCTACATCGGCCATGGCACTCTCTGGGTTCCCTCTTGGCCTTCTTACGGAAGGCCGCTTTCTCGGAACGCGGATAACGACATGCGGGTGACGAGTGTGACAGGCTTTCAGAACGTAAGAAGAAACAGAATCGCCGGGAAATTGAGGCGTGAAGAGCCAACGCCCAAGCCCAACCCTAATCAACCCAAACATCTCTAAACTAATCCTGACCGGACCTAACTTAATCCTAAATGTAAACAAACCTGAACAAACCTCAGAACACTTACAAACCCCACACAATCCCTGAAAAACGTGGATTTTTGGGGTTGGGACGCTTTACCTTCCGACTCCGACTCCAACCGCTCGTGCGACTTCTCCGGTGGCGACTCGGAGCTCCAGGACTTCGGCTGTTGATCAAAGCGTGCAGCTCCTTTTTGCCGTCGCTCTGCCACTGGGCTCGGTTCCGCGCCGGGTTCGGCCGTGGCGCGGTTCGATTCGGCGGTGCGGTTCGCTTGCGTGGCTGTCTGCTGGGTCGTTTGCGTCCGACATGGAGTGGTGGTTCGTGAGGTGGCGACCATCCTGGAGTGAAAAGCTGGTAGGTCATGGTCGATCACATAGATTTGTCGACCTACACCTTGGAAGATGTCTTGCAGAAACTGCTAGAAGGAAACAACTAACTACTAACAACTACAAAGGTGCTTATCATGCTCTCCTCATGTTCTCAGTTCTCCTTGTTCCCAGCCAGTTTTTGTGAGTGAAGTTCTTGTTTAAACCGGGGGCATGCAAGTACGTTATGTATATACCCTGGGAGTCAAAGACTATAACAAGAATGGTCTTTAGGGGACCTGAAAGGGAACTTCCTTTACTTCAGCCGGTCAAAATATAGTCTTTGGACTTCTAGGGTATATATAGGGGCGTCGGTCGTGGTGCCGCCTCCGAAGCCATTTCCGTTCGATTCACCCGTCAGAAGCACAGGAGCACGTGAAAAACAGAGCACAGGAGCACGTTCGGCCCACGTTTGGCGGATCCGGAATCCGACTGGGACGGCAGGGCTGGATGTGTGCCAACTGCCGCGGATCTCAACAACCAGGTGGCCACATAGAAACCACCCGAATCGTGCGCGCGCCCGCGCGCGCGAGAAGAATCACATACGCTGGGTGAGGTTGGTCGATGGCCCTGCTGGGGCTCTTCATGATGATGGGCGCTCTTTTCATGGGCAACCTGCCACCTGGCTGCCAACCGCTGTTTGGGAAAGGCCGTGTGGATGACGTACCGGGCTGCAGTGTGCCAAAGAAATCAAACGAAGAAAGCTTGAAAGGGGATCCACTCTGAATCACGTTCCATGGAAGTGGCGTCCCATGGCCCCATGGAAGACTTGCCGGTGCACGCCACACGGTACGGGCCCCCAGCCCCGCCAACCTTGACTTACATCGGGTCAGAGGTGGGAAACGCCTGAGGGCTACGGCGACTGAAGAGGGTTGTCCTTTCCAAGCAGGGGGGTGTGAGCCTCCACTTACAATATGCCGTTTTTCCCTCGCAAGCGTCTGGAGGTCTCCGGCTTCCTTCCCCGAGACGTTCCGAGGCGCTTCCCGGCGCAGACCTTCCGAGCCCCGGGGAGTTCGGAGATCCGTCGGGTGGACGAGGCACTTGAGGCATGTGAGGCACCGAGCTCCCGCGGAGCGCGCTCCAGCCGAGGCTCCAGGACTATATACTGGATGAATCTCTGGATCGGGACAGAAGAACTTGGGTGTGGATGCACTATGGAACAGCCTACAGGGCCATCTACACCATGCTGCTGGGTGAGATGAACATGTTCTTTATTTCTCCCCCTCTCTGCTGATGACTCTTCTGGTCTTGGAGTCCTTCAAATTTCATCACGAAAGCTAGCGCCAGCTAGCTGGAGTTCGGAGTTACTCTTGCTTTAGCAAGTCATTGGCTCAGGGATGACCTACCCAGTGAATAATTCATGCGTAGACCCACCCGCCGGGTTCAACTCCCCCCTCCCCCCACGTTTGATCAAGGCATCGGAGAGGACAATCCACTAGGTCCTTTGACTGTGACTTAAACGCACGGAAACCAGATACCATCCGTCAAGAACAAGGAATGGCGCTCTCCGAGACCTCTCGCCGAATCCCGTTTACGAAAGCCATGCTAGCTTTCGTCACCAAGCCCTGGCCTCAAGTCTTCTTTTGGTTCTTGTGTGCCCATCCAACAGAGCTTGAAGAACCCTATAAAATGTGCCATCACAGGGTCTTATAAAGTCTCTTACCAACATGATCTTCTGTGAGACACTTCTGTTTTCTATAAATATCCAGCATGATGTTAAATAAACGTATGTTCCCCAATAGCCATGCTATGGGGTCTTGCAAAACTAATAGGCGGACGGGCGCCGTCGGGTCACCGTCAGAGCTGGTGGGCAGATGGTGTCCCGGTCATGTTTTGATGGCGTCCGGGTCATGTGATGCTGGTGTCCCGGTCATGTTTTGATGGTGTCCCGATCATGTTTTGATTGTGACCCAGTCATCATGTGATGGTGTCCCGGTCCTGTTTTGATGGTGTCCCGGTCATGTTTTGATGGTGTCCCGGTCATGTTGTGATGGTGTCCCGGTCATGTTTTGAAGGTGTCCCGGTCATGTTGTGATGGTGTCCCGGTCATGTTGTGATGGT